TGTTTCCTTATTCACAAGCCAATTTGGTGTCAAAGCTGCTCAAACATATGGCGAAAGCCTGAAAAGCCGAGAGCGGATACCGATAATCCATCGTGAACATGTCCTTCCCCACCTTCCCGAACTGCAGTATGATCTTGTCTTGGTCCGGTGGCGGCGGCGGTTGGGACCCGGTGGGCCCGCCCGTGGTCGGTTGCCCAGTGGCGGCAATCAGCTGGAAGTTCTTCACGGACGCGACGGTCACCCGCCCCCGGAAATTCAGGCACCAGCATTGCAACTGCTCGTGCCAGCGTGGCGCCTTGTTCTTCAGAACTAAGGGCCCCACCTTCCCATCGCCGTCTTCGGCAAACGATGACATGGCAATATCGGAGAACCTCGTGCTGCCGAATTCGGAAGAATGGTCTGTTGTTGACGACTTCGAGAGTCTGACGCTTCGGAAAGATTCATCAATGGGCCTCGGGTATAGCTCCGGTTGGCCCGGCACTGTACCTGTATAAGTCCAAAACAGTTTATGGTCAAAATTGTGTGTGTTCAATCTTCAGTTTCAACCATGCTAGGTGTACCCAGATATTGTGCCCCAAAACGTACCCCAAAGATTTACACTTACATTTTAATGACTTACATTGACACAAAATGTCAGTGCAATATCAAAATTTCGTATTGACATCAACCAGTTTGAATTTTACCACCACCCAGTTTTAATGTATAAAACATTTCTTAGTTGGGTCTGTTTCTTGACATCATATAACCTATGAACTAAAATTAGTCATTAAATCTTTCAATAATATATATTAATTTCTATGATACCATCGGTGTCAAGCGAGGAGGCAGGGATGCAATGCATGACACACTGCATTCTCCGTGGGCCACGGGTCCCGAGCACATTCAGTTCATATGTGATCTGGGCTATGTTGTAGCTTCCGGTCGGAACTTTGGGAGAGACTTTCTTTGAGAATCTGCGGCTTGTACGGCCCGCTGGTGCAGGGACGTGTGCCCCACATGGAGGTTGTGTGTCATATATAAAGAATTTTGTGCCCAGAAAGTTTGATCTGTAAAAAGAAATAGACAAACACCTCATTATATACTGTACACCATAAACGAAAATAAAATTGAAATTAAATTGCTGACAAAACAAAATCAGTGTAAAGAATGGATGGAGTAAGTGCTAAAGAGGTAGCAGACTAGGACATGGCACATGGGTGTTTGCTTACTAAGACTGTTTGGTTCAAGAAATTTGAGAAGGGAAAAGAAAAGAAAATGAAATGAAAAATGAATTTTCTTGTTTGGTCAGAGAGGAAAAGAAGAGAAAAGCGGAAAGAAAAGAAAGTGAGAAGGCAAAAATGTATTAAGAGGGAGAACAAAATTCCTCCTTTTTTTTGGGAGGGAAATGAGAGAAAACCATTTTCTTTTATTTTCCATCCAAATTCCTTGAACCAAACATAGGGTAAGGACTAAGGACACCTACCTCACTTTTCCGATGTATGTGCTGTTGGATCTTGAGATGTTCTCTGCATCCATTGAGATAACATACTCTGTGAGAGTAGACCGACGCGTTCTTTTTGCAGAGAGGAGAAATTTTCCATTTTCAACTAGCAATGCTACAATAGCCAAGTTGCAATCAAACATCCATGTTTAAAAAAGACTAATAAATATAAGAATATGAGTTTTTTCTTACAATTTTACAGGGAGTTCGAAACGAGACGAGCGACTCCACAAAAGTCCAAACAAATTTAGAAAATAATCCCCTTCAAAGATATCCCCCCCCCCCAAAAAAGCATATTTTGTTGGAAACAAACAGAGCCTTAGAGTTGAGAGTATATAGGGACTAGTTACCTGGACTAAGACACAAGAAGAGATGGTAGCTTAAATTGGACTTGTCTCGTTTGATGAAGCATTGGATGGTTCCATCACGAGGCCCAGGCTGAATATGGAAATTAAAATGTTAGCAGCTTTCATTAAAAATTCAAAGACTGTTTGGTAAGTCCCTAAGACGTAATGCAGTGTAAGGGAATCAAATCTTATTACTATTATCGAGAAATATCTACTACGAACTTTTTCCATTCTATTACAGCTTACCAAACACTACCCAAACCCATCTTGGATTCTAGATGGTCGTTTAAATGTGAATATCAGGTTGAAGCCATCTATTTTACTCCATCTGACCCGGGGGGAAATGTCCTCTCTAAAAACGTGTTTTACTATTGAAAAAAAGAGTCCTATTTGAACGAACAAAGACATTTAATTACTCATTTCAACGAACTATTTGGAGTATAGAATCTCCTTTTAGATCTACAATCACAAACTTGAACTTTTGGTCGAGTTGTTCTTTAAAAAGGTATCAGAGCTGAAACGCCACAATACTTCCATCAAAAAAGTATGCTTAGTGTAACCTCATTCAGATAGTGTGTTTTCACAGTTAAATATGGTAAGTTTAGTCAAACCAAAAAATATCAAAATTTTAAGTAAGGTCTCATAATTGAACTCCCTTTGTCAAGTAAAAAAAATCATTCTTTTCTTTTGTCAGTCGAAAAAAACTTCACTTTCTTTTTAAAGAAAACAACGAATGTCTCACAACTCTACTCTATGTTCTAAAGAAATCTTAACCATAAAATTTTTACTTTTCAACATTTTTTTAAACTCTGTGAAAATCAAACAAAGAATTTTTTTTAACAGGACAGAGGGAGGATATCTTACTAAAAGTAAAAACTTGTACAAGGTATTTAAGTAGTACCTGTTTTAGAGAAACCGGGAAAGTGATTTTCCCAGACATTTCCGGGCCCCTGACAATATCTTTACACATGCTCCTCCAAGACCTGCAAACTGCAGCACAAGCAACAACATGCTTACGGGCGGGCCACACACTCTCGCTCTCCTCTAACCGCCGGATCACATCAAAAAGTAGCTCTGTCGGGAGATTTGCCCAACGGCTATTTTGAATCACGACAGGCTGTTCGCCGAAGTCGTGGAATGAGGAGCCGCGTGATCTACCCCTGTGGTGACTAGGCAACCTCACTTCAAAGCTCCGCCTCGATAAGCTCCCGAAGCTATCCCTTACGTCACGAACTATATCACGGAACGACATTGAGTCTTGAACCCGGCGTGTAGGACGCGTTTACTTTTTGGTGAATTAGAGTCCGCTGAACGAAACAAAAAATGAGGTTCAATTGATTTTTCAACTTTGAATAGGACCAATAACATGTAAGAACAAATTAGAAAATAAGGCATGCAAACAGTAGAATAATAAGCTGTGTTTTTCACCATGATAAAGGAAAAGAAAAAGTGCAGTAAATGATACAGCTTTTAATAGATGCTTAAAGAGCAGCTTAAGAATAAAGTTAAGAAATGTAGGCTTCATTATCCCTCTACAATAACAAAAAAACTAAGTAAAATCTCACAAAAAGTAACGTTCGGGAGGGTGTAAGTTGTAAGTAGAGAAACTGTTTCCAAGAGGTCCCGACTCAAACAAAAGAGCACATACAAAGCTGCAATGCTGCACTATCCCTCTATTTACCTAAAAGTGAAAACAAGTACTTTCTCTATCCAAGAAAAAGAAAAAGATAATAAATCAAGGTAATATGTTGAAGGATAGTTTTTTGATAAATACATATTAACTTTGAAAAAACTAAATATAAACGATGTCATTAGATAGCCCTCTCAAAATGGTGAAGTTGTTGCAATGGCAGTTATTGTTGTTTAACCTACAGGAAATTAGAGTTTTTTTCTTTGAATAAATTTTTCTTTTTTTTTTTTTCACACCAGCACGTTGAACATTAAACAATCATTTTCCATTCTTCCACGCAAAAATAATATCAAGACTCAAATAGAGTACAAAAATAATCAGCTAATTATAGCTCCATATATGATATAGAACTGAACTAATTTGATACAGAAAAACAGATACATTTCCCTCCCCCAAAAAGCCAAGTTCTTTATCCACAAGAAACATTAAGATTCAAGAATCAAAACCCCCTCCCATCAAAATTAGGTCGTGTTTGGTTCATGGAGAGAAGGGTGTTCTAATTCATAGTTGTTTGGCTTGTTGGGAGAGGAAAGGAAGGGGATGGAATGGGTTATACACAGTACAAGAGCGTGTTTTGTTGGGGAGAAGGGAGAAGAGCCAAGTCTCCAAATGTTTTGGACCAAACCAATGGGTGGAAGAACTTTAATCCTCACTCTCATCCCTAAAACCAAACACGCCCTAAGAGGAAAAAGGGGGAAAGTAAGTAACTTTCTTCTCTACTAAGCAACACACTTCCTGTTAGAGATTCACATTCAAAACCCCAAAAATGTCCAAGAAAACTATAAATCTTTTCAAAAAACCCCAGAAAATGAAGATCAAATGCTTATCCACAGCTTTGACAAACGAATGAAAAACAAAATAAGCAATAGCAAATGAACAAACACCTGATGAGCATGAGAATCCTGAGCTACTGTGGAAAAGATCTGAAGAAAATATGGTGGGATATGAAACAGATCTGTACCTTAGATGAAGAAGAAAAGTCAGCAACAAAGATGAAAGGCTCCACCAGAATAAGTGAGATGAAATTTCCCCATAAAGAAAAGAACTTTTACGAAGAGAGGAGAAGGGAGAAGAAGGAGATCTGATGAAGTGGGCCTGACCCGATAATCTGATGAAATCACTTTATCTTCTTTTCTTTCCCCCCTGTCGTCTGCCTCTTTCTATAGCGAGCTAGCATTTTTTCCGAACAAGAGAAAGGATGTTGTAGAAGAAGATGGAAATATAAAAAAAAAAAAAAAGAATAGATTTCAGCTCCGTTTGTCGAGTAAATAGAGTCAAATGACATGTGTTAAGACAATTTAGAAAAAATATTTCATTCCCTCCCATAATAATATTTCACAATTAGAAGATTAAAAAAATAAAATTATATATTTGAGGTGGTCTCGATGAGAGAATATAATGAGAACTATAAAAAAAAATTTAATTTGTATAACATATGAAAAAGAAAATATAGATCAATATTTCGAATTAAAGAAAATAATGCAATTTTAAAAAACCCACAAAAGTAGTAGAAAGAACTTGACAACAAAGTAATACAGATAATACAACAAAAACATAGAACACACAAAAGGAAGTAAAAGCAAACTATGGTTAATAAATGAAAAATGCAAGCAAAAAACACCAAACAAATAAAAATGATAAAAAACTATCAAGAATAATGTCTATCCATCTACTTACTACTACCTCTCTATATGCTCTTATTTAATATCATAAATCCAGTAATGGCTAGAATTCATTTTGAGTTAATAGATGTCATTTTATGAATTTTGAGTTAATATGAAGTTGGTGTTTATTTTTTATAGTTGAACCAAATTGTGAGTTTAAAACAATTCTAGAAAAAAGAACCAATTCCAAATGATACATTACATAATAATTATAGCAATAGTAATATAAATTTGAATTAAAAAAATAATAGGGAGCAATTGAAATTTAAACATTGAATTATTAGAATTTAGAAATTTAGAATTGAATTTTAGTTGGGCAATTGGATTTTGGAAATGGCTTCCAACTTGTCCAAAGCCCATTTATCAAACGGACTCCATTGGGCGAACGGTACTGGACCCGTATTCGCGTAACATACGCATCTGGACATAGTCATAGAACAAACTGCGCACCCCTCGCACTTCTCCATCTCCGAAGCTCATTTCCAAGCTCCGCCGCCGCGAAGCAGGTCAGGCGGACGCTCTATAATATTTTCATCAGATCTGTTAATCGAGCAATCTATTCGCATGTATCTACGGAATTTTCATTGTAGATCGAATGTGTTTCTTAGCCAATTTACGCGGGCTTTCTTTTGTTTGCAGGTGAAATCCGCTGCATCGAGCTTTCCGCGCCGTATCTTCATATCAAAATGTAAGGATTTCCCTTTCTCTCTCAGTTGATATTGATGAAAATCCATTCGTACTTCTATCTGATCTGAATTGGGAAGTACTCGTAGCTTGTGTATATCAGTTGCTGCTTAGGTATCGAGAGATGAAATTAATGCTTGTTGTTGACAATGCATTGGATTTACTTTCCAAGATTACTTTCTATTGAGCAGTGGATGAATTTGACTGTCAGGTTTTGTTTCCAAGCTTGGAATTATCTAATCTACACGAACGGACATGATCGTATAATAATTCTGGAAAAGTTGATAATTGAAAATGAAACAGGGGAGTTTCCACATGTTTTAATGAGAAAGGAATGAGATTTTCTATTGCCGGTTCATATCCCTTTGGACATATACTAACCAAGTAACCAAGCAAGAGCACCTTTCTCAATGATCTTTAGGCCTCAACTCAATTTACAAATGATGCCAATCAAATGTTTTTTTGGGTGCAATGTTTTGTATATTACATTCTTTCTTACAGCCTCTTTAATCTGTCCAATGGATTCTGTCTTTTGACCTTCAAAACCTTTGCATTTCCATCCTTCCAAACTTGGTATTAGGCTCTGCCATAGTGCATGGAGTAAGACATCTTTGGATTCTCCACTGGTCATACTTCTCATCATCCCCAAGTCATCCTGATATTTGGGGATTGTACATTTCAACAATGTTGCCACATCTGACATGATTGCCATGCTATAAATGCAAGCTTAAAATTGTGTGATCATCTCCTCATAATGGTATCAAAGCTCACTGTTTAGTTTCTCGGCATGAACATTGCAAGCTTGTTTTTAACTTGCAGCCTTCTATGGTATAGTGTGTTAACAATGTTTAGTCACACTAGCTCTATCCCATAGACCCATATCCATGCATCCCCATTCCATTAAACTTTTTCTTGAATTTCTTCTGAGCCCTTTAAATCTCTGTATATTTACAGATTCTGCTGGGCATGATTTTCTTGATTTTCTTCTGGGTATTGGCTGTTTGGTCCAGCAGCAAAATTTTCATTTTCCCATGTTTGGTTATGTTGGAAAAGGGCATTCTAATATACTACTATATGGTCTAATGGTCCCCAAATTTTATTGGGGTGGGGGGGTGGGGGGGGTCATATCTTACACAGTACTAAATCATAAATCCCAAATCTACATATGTATGCATATGGAAATGGATAAGCATTATGCAACATGTGTTTGTGTTGTGCCTCATTAGATGTTTTATTCATTCACTCTTACAACATAGGTCGGATGAAGAAGTTGTAGATCAGAAGAAGACACTTGAAGAGAACTGTAAGCCGAAATGTGTCAAGCCACTCCGCCAATATCATGTAAGATTGTAACAAAAATTTCATCGCATATTCAAATTATAACTATTTTTGGCTCTTATATTTGTTGAAGTATATGTTCATTAGCAACTTATGTATTTTACTTCCCTTATGCCTTGACTTTCAGTTTGCTATCAACAATGGGCAAGTGTTCAGTCTAAAATGGTGAAGGCCTACAATTAAAAAACTATAATGTTAGAAGAGATGATTGTAATCTTTAATTGGATAGATATATGGTTAATCTTCTATGTTGCAATGATGGGAAATATGACCAATATAACAAGTGTAACTTAGTGCTGCGACCTACTTTTGTTATTTGTCATAGAAAAATGTGAATAGCATAATACAACTGGGTAACCCAATGCATACTTAAGAACACGGTGGTGGTTTAATTGACATTGAAACCCAATGTCATTGCATGATATCAGGTCATTTGAGGGCCCTATGGTGCTCTGTTGGGGTATGTTTGAATGCTCCCTAGAATAATAGTATTTCTAGTTTCTCTCCAAAATATTCTACCAAAAATACCCCAATAGTCTATTTAGCTGCTTACGCTACAATGCGTTGTTAGAAGAAGTTTAGTTGGTAGGTGAATGATAGAGGTCTAGATTCTTGAAATATCTGGTCTTCATTCTTCTTTGAATTTTACTTGGTGCACTACCAAACCGCCTATAGTTTAAACTTGATGCTAGATCAACTGCTTTTGTCTTGGTAACTAGTTGACTAATATTGGATACTTACATTTTAAGTATGAAGTGTTTCCAAAACCTCTGCTTTATATGAGTAGTAATTCTTGGGCGGAAAACGGTTTTCTTACCCTTGATTTGCTCTTTCAATTTTTTTTGTCGTGCGATGTGTTATACTTATATGTGTTGCTCCCGTACACACCCTCCTGTTACCTTTCCTTTGTGGGATTGAACTTGGTTGTTGTCGTAGTAGTAGTTAAAGACTTAAAGTAATGACCTCCATCTGAAAACAAGAAATCCCCAATTGAGTGCCCCATATGTATCTAGTAACAAGTATCTCTAGACAATGTTCCCTTTGAGTTATTCTAAAGTGCACCAATGTCCACAAGATAAGAAGCAATAAATGATCATTTAATGCTTATAACATTTTTATCCTTGATAATGGCACTATTTGTATAATCATTTGCCACAATCATATCAATTTTAAAAATCACTTGTTTTTTCCCCTGAAACTATAAAATGAAGCACATTGGTCGGTCTTTATCATGTGCTCATGGGCACCCATTTGTAACAACTAAAAGAAGATTAAAATTTTATATGATCAAATAGCATATTAATCTTTGAACCTTTTGAAGTCTCAAATATTTTTGCTACAGTATAGATCAAGCCATCCGAAGCCTTCTCCTAGACTCAAACTCTCCATTTGAGCATGCATGTTTCCATTATACAAAAACATCTCTATTCAGTCTAATTCTGCGTAGTAAGTAAGATTGGGATGTCATTACATCTTACAGGCATGTGCTAAAAGGATTGAAGGAGATGAAACTGGAAACAAACATTGCACCGGACAGTATTTTGATTATTGGCATTGCATAGACGAATGCGTAAGTATAATTACATATTTCCTTTTTGCCTCCTTGTATTCGTGCTTTTTTAGGGCTGTTTTTTATACACGATTTTTCTTCACTCTTGGAATGCAGGTTGCTCTAAAGCTATTCGCAAAACTCAAGTAGAAATGTGTCTACTTTTTTATTTATTCGTGGTTGTTTTGTTTTGTTACTGAACACAACGCCTTGCCTCGCCTTCTTGTATGAACTCTTTTTATTTTTGCTAGAAGCTTGCAATGCCATTGGGCAGGCTTTTATTGATTGCATAAAAACCTTTTGACACTTTCTTTGACACCTCCCCAGATCAATAAGAAAGCTTGTTTGTGCTTGAATTGTATTGACATTTCTTTTGTTTAGTTCAATTGTCATATGATCATCAGTATTTTTTTTATTGATTTTGTTTGATTCGAATCTGTTATATTCGACCATAACCGACTCATGCCATCCCAATGTCCAATTTTGTCTAGGTCTACTCCTTTCTCAGTAGTTATATATAGTGACATATAGTTAAATTAATAAATTTAAATTGTCTATTGCGCTATACAATGTTTGCCTAAATTTTTTTTCCATTCAATTTTCAAAAAATTGGGGTGACAAGACTATTATTTGATCACATAAATAACTGAAATGAGTAAAAAATAGTTAAAATATAATCACGTAGACAGTGAATAAATATCTTAAATTTCGATGAAGGGAATAAAATTATAAATACTGGTCCTTGTGAATTTTGGAGTTCAAATCTAAGATTCCCATATTGTAAGTCATAGGTAGAATGCAAGTAGTGATAAGTGCCAACACAAGCTTGTTAGAGCACTCTCAACCGTGAGTGATACTTTTTCACCTCACACAAACAAAAAAAAATCATACTACACTTACAAGTGTATTCCAAGGTTACATTAAAGATATACACTAATATTTTGATGGTTCATATTGAAATAGAATAATGATGCGTTAGCAAAAATTTGCGCTAACATTTTGTGTTTGTGTGAACTATTACCTTAACATGACACTGACACAATATGATAGTGCACATCTGCGATGTCCAATTTAGGATACAAATAGCTTAATCCACAAAAAAAAAACCACCATCAATAAAGCAAGATTTTTTTTGGGAGAGAGATTTGTATCTTTGAATTTGCACACGTAGTACTATATCTCTACACTTATTTTGTACCCAAATATGGGTACCGATAGATTATACTCCGTAATTTTCTATTAGTACTACCCACAAATTCACAGGATATGTAAAAATAATACACCATCCATCTCAAAAAGAAGAAAAAAACTAAGTTTTTTTCGTGTCATTTATCCTCGAATTTTTAAAAATTTTGTGAGATTCTCTTGAATTTTAAAAATTACGCCAATGAATCAATGATCCCTGAACATTTAAAAATGTTATACCCGTGGTCATTTTGTTAAAAATTAGACAATACATTTGACTAATTAATATACACGTAATACTTTGATGAAGATGCTATGATTTGGTGAAAAAGTTAATCAATTGATGAAAAATTTGATCGACCGATTTTCGAGATTTAAATTTGTTTACTGATGACAAAAACGGAAATAATTGTCTAAAATTTCAAGATGTTAAAAATATGAAAGATAATGTTTAGAAAATTATATTACAACGCACGTGTGATATACAAAGTATGAGTTATAAATTAATACTTGCACTGGACAAATGTTTGATTAACTAACACACTTCGAAATCTGACACAAATGGATCATTGACACAACATTTTTTTAAAAGTTCAAGGACTAGTATTTCTATTTTTGCACAATTTTTAAAGAGTTAAGGTAACTTAATAGCAGAAGAACCAAAAACATAACTAACATTGATCATCAATCCGTTGAAATCTAAGACTGTTGAAGCAGTGAAGTATATAAATGGAGCCATATTAAAGGCAGGCAGGGCAGAGATGAAAACCACACTAATTACTTGGTAAGATTCCATTACTAAGTCCTATTCTGCATTGAGGAATGTAAACCCTATGTATTAGATGGCAACCTCTAGCAAATGGCATTCTTCATGGAATGAAGAGTCCTTTTGAAAAATGATCCTTCTTCAATTGCTCTTCTTCCTTTCCTTGCACAGCTAGCTAGCTAGCATGCCATCATCATCATCATGTACCACTCTTGAAGTATGATATGAACACATCAGCACGCTTTTCATACACGTCTCGACGGCTTGTTAGATAGCCAGAGATCCCATGTATCTTGGTTGCGTCACCACCTCCACCACCCAGCTTCTGCGCAATGGTTGCCAGAACCGCGACCAACATCACACACTTATCTGTCTGAATGGCTGCGAACTGAGCGCTGTCGAAAATTCGTGCATACTTCCATGTCCTGGCTCCCATGGCACGCTCCCTATCGGCGTCAGTCTGGGGCAGTTCATACTTGAGGACAATGTGCACAATCGTCCTCAGCGCGTCAACAAGAGATGGGTGTGTGACCACCTTGATAACCTCACTCAGTGGGGCTTGGAGCATTTCAGTCACAGACATGAGAAGTGTGTAGGCGTGCATGCCTGTGTAAGCCATGTCCCTTTCAAACAATGCACTACACAATCTCCGATCCTGTCCTTCCAGTTGCAGAAACCCCAGCAGGAAACAGGCAATTGTGCCCTTAAGATGTCTCCTAGCTTGAAGGAAATTGCGAATGGCCTCCAGACAATCCAGGTTTGGGGTTAACTCAAAAGCAGGCTCTTCGTGATAAAAGTTGATGTAATTTCTCATGATGGATTTCCAGGCTCTGTGCAGGCTTCCTTCATCTTTGGTAATGAGCCTCAAAGTGGCAGCACACATGTACGCGGCTGTTCTCTCAAATGCACTCCTCTGCTGAGGTGACCATAGCCGGGCAGAAGGCTAGCAGGTTCCTTCAAGTGTTACCAGTGCCCTTTGTTCGAGCTCTGTGACATCTACACAAGGGCCATTCATGGCGACTTTAGGGAAGACGTACACCTGTTTGTTTTGGGGAGAGACGAGCCCCCATGCCGCCATCAACAAATAGCCCACCGATTGGGTAGTGACTTGGCGATATAGCGACTCGATTCCTGCACACAGAACCTTCATTCTCTGACAAACATCCAGTTCATGATACCTTTGGATGTCTACATGAGGAAGCTCGCTCATCCTCTCGTCCGTCCAGTCATGGGAGGCGGATCTCATTCTGATTTCGATGCCTTCCAGCTCTGCAAACATCTGGCGAGAAGAGTCTGTGATCACCGGGATTTTCCTCCTAGAACTCTCTTCTAGATCTCGCGGATTCGGTGCCGCGGATCTCATCGCAGATCTGGATGCTGTTTTCTCAGAACTCTCTCGCGCGTTCTTCGGCTGGGAGATCCGAACGTAACCGCCCAGGTGGGAGGACTTGACGCCGAATCCGAGACCATCCAGTTCCGGCCACATCCGGTGAACGGAGTCCGGAATCATTGGAATTTCGCCACTAGGATTCATCTTGGAAATATAGCCACCGCCGCCCAGCAATCCACAGGAAGCGGGTAAGCTGTTTCACATACAACTCCAAGGTTGAACGGTGAATGCAAAGAGCGGGTTCAAACCAGTGTTTTGGAACCTGGACCAGACCGGTTGTTCCAACCGGTTGAACTATGACACAAACAAGTGTCCGGTCCGGTCCTTAAACAAAAAAAGGTTTTTAGATTAACCTGCAAAGAACCGTTAAACCCGTCGAATTATGCGACTCGGTTTTGCGCTTACAGTTCACGGGTCTAATGTAACTTTTGTTTTATTTTACAAAACTCCACACCATCAGGAATCAAACCATGAACTTCTTCCCCGACACTACCATTTCTGTCCAGCTGCACTACTAAAATTGGTTGTTTTTATGTGTATAAATATTTCGAAATATTCATTGCACAACCTTCATTTTGAGATAGTAGCACCTAAGAGATCTCCAACCCATAGTGGAAAAAGTGATAGTGTAAAATTTATTTTACACTATCAATAGTATTTTACACATTCAATTTTTATACTCACTCCAACCATATCTTTTATATAATATATTTTTATAATATTTTGTTATTTTAAGTTATTTATTTATAATAAATATATTTAATTTTTGATCTAATTATAATCACATTTATGATGTGCATAATCTAAACAATCTATTAATAACATTTTTAGTATTATTTAAAACTAAATATTGAAATATTTGTTTTAGCATTTGGTTTGCAACATATTGTATATATACAAGTTGGGAATTGCTTTTTCCACTTTAGTGTTTTTTAGCATTTGATTTACACTATCCATTAAAGTACTACAAAATGAATAGTATATTGCATATAGTGTAAATTTAACCATATACACTATAGGTTGGAGATGCTCTACTACTGTATATTCGTAGAAAACTTTCAACATTTTAATAAGATAGTTCTATTTACGTTCTTTAAAAATAGAGATATATTTGTGTATCATTTTTATTTTAAGAATTTTTAAAATAATTTTTTATAATAAACAAAATGAACATTATTTTTTTTTTCAATAAACTAAAGATTCTAGAACATTAATAAAGGTAATTAAAATTAAAATTGGATAGTGTGAAAGAGTACTATATGAAAAAATAAACTCTCTTCGTCCCCCTAAGATGTTCTCATTTTGACTTTTGGTGGTTTTTAAGGAGAGTTGAAAAAAGGTGAAAGTTTACCTTAATACCCTTAATGAAAATGAGTGGAGTGTATTAAATGAAGTGGGAGGTGTAATAAATAAAATAAGTGGGGGTAGTTGTGTTATTTTAATTGTTAAAAAATGAAATGAGAATATCTATTGTGGACAAAGAAAAAGGGCTATTGGGAATATCTATGACCTATGGAAGACGGAGGGAGTATTAAAAACTAGGTGGACAAGAAAAAAATATAAACTTAAATACTCTTACTATGTACTCCCTCCGTCCCGCTATATTCGTCCACTTTTAACTTTTGGAACTGTTCATCGAAGCACTTTGACTCATCAAATTCTCTCAATGTGTAAGCCAAAATATAGTCATGCGTGATCTTGTTTGATTTATCTTAACATATAGATTGTTAATATATAAATTATATAATTTTTTAATATACAAATTACAAGATAAAATGGATTAAAGAAGTGTATTGGATGGTGTGCAAAAATGAAAGTGGACAAATATAGTGGAACGGAGGAAGTATTATGTAAGAATATTTATTTTAATTTATTAAAAATATTACTCTGTAATATATTTAAAAAAAATTATTTTTTTTGATAGAAAACAAAACTTCATTCAGAAGAAATCAAATGTGCGATACAACTGGGCGGTATATAGCTCCATGAGACAAAATGGGGCGTAACATACCGTGCCAGAGTATGAGCAATACAATTATGATTCCTACGAATAAAATGAAAGTCAATAGATGTAAATGAAGATAATAATACAGCACAGTCATCAAGGATGGGGCCTAGATAAGAGTAGTACTCAAAGGCCCTTCCTTGTTTGATAGCCCTCACTAAGACCTCACAATCAGAAAGAATCTCAACGTCACGAATACCTCGAGTCCGCAACCAAGATAATGTTTCCTTGCAAGCAAGAGCTTGCGCCAAAAGAGGAACTAGAGGCCCAAGTTTTCCTCCATTTGCCGCTGCCACAAAGACACCTCCTGGATAAAAAAAGGACACAACCGAAAGAGATGGACATGGACTCCTCCGAAACTGATGTCGCAGCATCAAAAAAACACCTGTATGCCTCTGCCTGCAAACTTACCTCGTGCCGCTATGGAGTACGCTCCCGCTCCGCAATAGCCTTGTTTGACCATTGGGCTTCCATGGACAACACTATTCTCTTAAGTTCTCCTGGAAGCAGTGTCTTATGATCCCAAGTGGCTATGTTACGTGCTTTCCAAATTGCCCAACAAGTCCAAGCGATGGTACGCAGCTCCAATAGAGTGTCATTATGGCACCGAACTTGGAACCAATTTTGGAAAGAAATAAAAGAGATTCTATTTCCTCCTTTGCCCATGAGCCTCCAAAACGAATTGCAAAAATTTATTTTAATTACAATTGACAGAGTCTTTGTCTCGTTTAACCATTAACCCAGTAGTGCTTTTCTGCAACGCCGCTTATTATCGGCGATCGGAAGTCGAAACCAAGCAGGAGTCGAAACATTCAATCGAAGCTGAACTCTGGATTCTTCAAGCCAGTAAGAGGGAGAAGAAGAAGAAGAAAAAGGAGAGATGTGGTACCTATGCGTGTTCTACCACAGATTACTGGATTTCCGGAAACCCGAGGTTGAATCTCTCGCCGACCTCTTTGGAGCATTCGAATCCGATCGGGAAAAATCGTTGGAGTGGAAGCTTCCAGAGAACTACCACACCGACTCGCCTTTCCACTTCGTCAACCTCCCTTCCGAAGAGATTGCCCGGAATGTCGCCAATCGAAGTATGCATCTGTACTCCAAACAGTTCATCTCCATACCTTTTAATTACATTATACTTTGTAGTAATTTTCAGTACTGATTGATTGCCTGCTTGTTGAAATGATTTCAAGCCTGTTCAACTTGTGCAATCTCTAGTTGAGAGCTTTATTATAGCAACATCGAGCTAATATAGAAATGTCCAGTCTGGGCCAAATTTGTACTGGGTTCAATGTGGTCCTCCATTGCTATTTGGACCAGAGTTACTCCGGATTCATATTTTGCTCAATTTTAAGTAAAGTATTTCATTTGGAGAGGACAGAATTGGATCTCAAACGCATAGTTGAGTATAAAACTGAGCCATAACTTGTGTAAAAAGATGGGAAACAGATGGAAAGTACCCGCCTGTTTTAGAACCAAGTGTATGAAAGGAGTACATTACGTCCAAATTCCATACTTAAGCTGACTAGGGGCTGTTTGTTGGAACTACTTGTAGCTGCTAATGTTGCTGTTTGAACAATGGTTGAGAAAATTTTGTTTTTTTTGTTTGGTTGAGCTGTTGCTGTTTCGAGTGACGTAATGTAAAAGTACTTATAGTAGTACTCCCTATTTACTAAAAATAATAGGGTATTTGGAACAACGAACACATGACAAACGATAGAGTGAAATCCAACAGCTCCATTTTTGAGCTGCTGGGTGTGTTTAGGAAAGTGAAATGGAACACTACCCTATCAGCCAGAACAAACTCATCCTAATTTCAGTGCTTTTGTAATGCATTATGGGGATCAAAACCCAAATATAAGGTCTCTCTTGCGTTTGATTTTTTTTTTAACATAAGCTGTTCATCCCCAGCTTTGATGAGTTGCTTATGTCATTTTGAGCGCTTCCTCACACAGGTATCCTTGTGAAGGGAATATATGAACTCTGGGGAGAAGGCAATACCTATGAGGAATTGGAAGATGCTATAAAGAATTATCCCGATGAGCGGAAGTTGCCATACCTGACGCCTGATAGCACATTTAAGATCAGTGTTGACAGCTTTGGGAAAGCCATCAGCTTTCAGGAACAAAATGGCCGTATTCAGTCACTTTCTTACATTCCTTTCAAGGTACAATTTCTTTGTAGTCTCCACTCTTCCCTTGCCGGTATATTTAAAACAACTCAGTAGAATCCACAATTGTAGGGTTTGGGGCCTTGCTGGTTAATAATTAAATTAAATTTTTGTATTTTTTTAATAACCAAGGTAGAACAATTTTCATCAGTTCGGTGGTTGTTTTGTTTAAATGAACTTTGCTCTTAATGGGGGATTCAAGTGTTGGTCAATTNGTCACCAACTATACAATTTAAATGCAATTTAGCCCTCATCACATTTCTTCCAGTTGCATGTTGAAGACTTCACCCAAATTATGTTGTTGGTCCACTTTTAGTCCCTAAATGTGCCTAATTTTTTGAAAAGGAACGAATATACCCTTATTCATATAACCAAACATGATTGAAGACTATATTATGTCCAAATATAATGGTAGATGACCCAATTGAGTCCCAAAAATTTTTAGGACCAAATTGAGTAATAGTTTGTTGTCAAGGTACTAGATCAGGTAAAAATTCTAAAAGTTATGGACGAGCTCTCTTCATTGAGAATTTTATGGTTTAGGGATAGATAGCAGTTATTTAATTAATGAAGTAGCAGTTAGTCAAGCAATGCAACTTTCAACGTTGAGCCGGGGTCTCTTTGGAAACAGCCTCTCTACTTTCGAGTAGGGGCAAGGTCTGCGTACACACACCCTCCCCAGACCCTACTCTTGTGGGATTTAACTGGGTTGTTGTTGTTGTTGTTTGTAGGGATAGATAGCAGGAAGAGAGCAGGCAACAAGGAGTTTATGCCCGAGGGATTAAGAACTTCCCGTTGAGATTAACATGTTAGATTGAGCCTAACTCACATAAAAGAGTATCGATAGTTGAGATTTCCTCACACGCTTGTATATTAACATGTTAGATTGCGCCTAGCTGATCCAAAAGGATATCGATAGGAGAGATTCCTCTCGCACTTGTATACTAAGATTCACTTGATGAGATTAACTTGTTAGATTGCGCCTAGCTCATCCAAAAGGATATTGATAGGTGACATTTCCTCTCACACTTTTATGCTAGATTCAAAAATTGATGTGGGATACTTAACATACCTGTTCAACCTAAATCATTCTAGACAAGTTAACTGCTAGTCAAAATCAAATCAACCTCCAAATAGGCTGACCAAACCATCGAATGGGCGGGTGCCCCACAAACCACTTCTGAATCGGGCTTTAATACCATGTTAAAGTAGGCCTAACTCATCCCAAATCGATCCTCAAGAGGTGATGTTTTCCTCCTAAACCTATACTAGATTCAAGCCCAACAGACAACCCATGTGGGATACCCAACAACAAATAATGGTCATCCTATTGTCACATTGCAACATTATTGAATTTCCTCCCTGATATTTACTGGTTCCTGATGTGTTTAAATATAAGTTTTGCTATATCTGCTTCATTTCAGGGACGAGTGAATTTAAAAAATCCAGACCACAAGTTCTGCCTCATTGAAAATGACAAGTATGACTCTAATAATGGACTTCCCCCAATTCTTCACAGGAGGGTATTTTTTGGGCGGGAGGTAGGTGCTGCTGATAGGAAACTCTTACCCACTTATCAGTTGAAAAGCCGCAATTATCTTGGCCCCACAGCCATGGATGCTGAAATGGCATTTCTGATGGCTAACCAAGCGCAAGCCAATCCCGGTAAACTAGTCTACGATCCATTTGTTGGCACAGGAAGCATTCTTGTTGCAGCTGCTCATTATAAGGCAATGACAATGGTCAGTTTTTCTTCATATGTATTGGAACATCAAGGATATGCTTGCAATGTAGAAAATGGTATAGGAAAGAAAAAAAGATTCCAAAGAAAAAGGTTTTATGTAATGTTTGGTTTTACCTCAGTGAAAACTGAGGAAATAAAATCAAAGTTGATTTAATAATATCTTATCTTGCATAAACTTGGATTTCTCAATCTTGATAAGTTTATATAATAGAAATATATAAATAAAATGACTTTGAGTAAATATCTTAAACTGTTTCATTGAGTATGAACCATCTTTTATTTTCCCTCAGATTTTCTTTCATTCCAAACTCAACTATTTTCCCCCTTAGTTTCATTCCCTAGCATTTTCGTAGTATTTTATGACTTCCAAATGGACCCCAATAGCGCTTTATGTAAGTGAATGCTATTTTTTGTTCACCATTAACATTTTCAGGGTGCAGATATAGACATTCGTGTAGTGCGTGATGGTCGAGGTCCAGATTGTAATGTTTGGAGCAATTTCAAACAGGTGAATGTGCTGATACTATATATGTATGTGTGTGTGTGTGTGTGTATTCTTAATGCTCATATTAGAGACTGCAAGTAGGTCATTATACCAAACCAAACTATTCCCTTGTTAGACATTTTTAAAATAATGGTGTGTATGCTTTTATATTTTTATTCTTTTATTATACAATTAGACTCTTGGAGACAGCCTCTCCACTTCTTGGAGTAGAGGTAAGGTTTATGTACATCTTGTCATCCCGCCCTACTCTTGAGTGGGATAACGGGTTTCGTTCATGATAAAATCAAATTATAAAAAGATGATAAATTTGGGAATTTGCTTCCAATATGTGCTTTGAGGTATTTATAAGGTTTTTCTTTATGGTGAATGCAGTACGGATTGCCGTCGCCTATTTCTTTGATAAGGGCAGACAATGGCCTTCCTCCTTGGCGGAAAGGGTTGAAAGAGGTATTTTCTCCAATTCTACAGCTTCAACTATTTCTCTCTTTTCCACAGTTCATTTTTTCCCTGATCTCCATTTAGAAGGCTTTTTCCAGATTTTCAGTTTCTTCAATGCAATAAATTACTGAGCCCGGTTCTTTTGACACCAAAAGTCAGTGTCATATTATAACACCGGTCCATTTTGGGGGCCTTGTGGTGCTCTGCTCAACCCTGAAATAGTTTCTACCCCCAACCCCCTTTGCCCACCCTCATTTGGATGACAATACATTGGCACATATTATTTGACAATGGATTGTCACCCAAATGGGGGAGGGGAGGGGGGTTATGAACCTCTTTGGGGTCGAATGGAGCACCGTAGGACCCCCAATAGAACGGTGTCGTAATATGAAATTAGGTTGAGTGTCAAAAGAACCCCAGTGTAAATTACTCCTTTTTTTCACAGTTATTACTTTATGGCAAGATTGTTAAAACTTGAAATTGCTCTTATATGAAATTGGTCTATGTTTTTTTGAAACTCAAATGGGAAGTTTTTCTTTCAGGTATTTGATGCCATAATATGTGACCCTCCCTACGGAGTTCGGGCAGGAGGCCGCAAATCTGGCGGCAGGAAGCTTCTGAAAGGGGTCATCGGCCCATACACAATCCCCGATGACAAAAGAACAGACCACATACCTTCCACTGCCCCTTACAGCCTAGCAGAGTGCCTACACGACCTTCTTGACCTGGCTGCCCGAGTGCTGGTCATCGGGGGGCGGTTGGTATACTTCTACCCCTCCTTGAGAGATGATAACTCGGGCAGCCCCGTCTTCCCGGAACACCCATGTTTCAAACTGGTCGCCGTCTCTGAACAGATACTGAGCTTCAGATACAGCCGGATACTGCTGACGATGGTTAAAACCGAAACATACACCGAAGAAATCGAATTGGCAGCAAGGATCAGACATTTGGAGTTCAAAGAAAACCATGTGAAGTGGCTTGAAGAAGGAAATCTTCATTCTGCTGTGTTTTGCCCTGCTCAAGATCTGCCTAATGACACAAAGATGACCAAAGAATCCAAGCCAAGGTACAGGGGCAAATATGTCTAATGAAATGAAGCTTCTGCGTTCGATTTCTGTTTGCTCCCAAGGTATGTGTCTTTGGGATTTCCATCTCTTTTTACGAATCGACTGAATCTTTTATGGGAAAATTTTTGGCCTAGTTTTAGGAGGTATGAGGTTTTAACGACCGTAGGGGTTAGGAGAGGTAGGGGTATGCCGAACGAATAGGGATGGGCTTTAGGCAAGGACATCGTTAAACTCAAGCTGACTAAGGACATGACTTTAGATATGAAGTTTTGGAGGCCAAGAGGTTGGTTTTTTGAGAGGTAGGCTTTGATCTCCCATCTCATTATCACGTATTTAGCGGGTTATTTTTTGGGCACGCAAAGTCATTTATTTTTAAGTGTACCGTATATGTAACGCTCCGTTGGAAGTGTATTTGGAATCGTGCTTGTTGATTTATTTCATTTTCAAGTATGGGTAGAGTCTGCGTACAAATACCCTCATCGGACATCGGAATCCTACTTTTTATAAGATTTCGTATTGAATTTGTTGTATTCTTTTAGGAACTGTTTGGCTCGGGTTGGTTTTAAATTTCTATTTCTATGCTAATTTTAAATGAAGTGCACTACGGTGTAAAATATATTCAACCATCATAAACAGAAAAATGGCTTTTTCATTTTAGGGCGGAGTCAACGTATTGCTTAATATACTATAAACCACAAAAGATTATTACGGAGTAAATATGGGTGCAAATAACGTAAAAAGCACAACATTGCATTTTTTTAGAACAAAGGAAGCACATATACTTTGTGTTGTTTAAAACGAAGCATTTTCCCAAATTTTAATGAGTTATAACAAAAAGGCAATTGTAGTTTTTCATACTCTCTACGTCCCAAAAAGAATTCCATCTTTTGATCAATGTGTAAAATCTTGTAACTTTTTAAATAATTTTATTTAAAAATTAGTATTGGAATAAAAAAAAGTTATATATATAAAAGTTTAAAATATATTCTTACAAAATAAAAGTGACATAAATATTTTATTTTATGAAATGATCAATAAAAATACTACAAGTAACAAATAAAAGTTTTCGAGAAATCATAATAGAAAAAAGATAAATCATTTTGGGACAAAAGAAGTATAAGCCATACCCCCACTCCATAAAAAGATTAGTAAATTCTAAATTGGTCCTTTCTAATAATGTGTTTTTTCGAAATTAATCTTTAATAAGCAATAATTTCCAACGTGGTCAATTGTAATTAAGATGTATTTTCTAAATAATCTTTTACCAAAAATGTCTATTAAATGTCAGTCAAATAGAAGATATTTTGGTATTTTTTATTATCTAGACTTAATAAATGTTCTTGAAATGCTCCTTTATTATTAAATATTTTCTAAATTGATAATTTCAAAGTAAATGTTTTCCCGAAATGAAATCCATGAGCGTACTTGGGATGGATCTGTTACTCTTACAGCTACTCGCTTTATTTGAAAGGACTATTTTGAGAACTTATTCATAGTTTAGTCGTTAGAAAATACAAAAATATTTTCTATTTAATTGTCATTTAATAAGTATCTTTGATAGATGACTATTTAAGGAATACATCTCAATTACAAAGGACCTTATTTGTAATTATTGTTTATTAAAGACTAATTTAGAAAAAAAAACTTGCTAGAAAGGAAAGCTTTGGAAATTTCCTCAAATAAAATTGAAGTTAAAGGTAACAATAATACCGTTGATAAGGAGTAAAATTATTTCTCCATAGAGAAAAATTTTCCATGGAAGTTGGGCGTCACTATCTATGCTGCGAAAACAAAGGAGATTTGTACGGTCATGAAATATCCTTCATGAAAAAACACACAAAACTTCAAAGGAAAAAAAAAGGAGAGAACTTATTAGATTAGGCCTTAGAGAGGGAGAAAAGAAAGAGCGGAGAAGATTAACATTTAATCTTCTCCATCTCCCTCCTAATAAGAAAAATAAATCAATTTCTTTAAAAAAACGGTGGCTCTAATTCGGGTGTTCCTTCAGGTTCTCATGGCCCCGAGCAAGCTTAGGAAAGCCATCGGGGCCGTGAAGGACCAGACGAGCATCAGCCTCGCCAAGGTGGGCTCCACCGACTCCCTCTCGGACTTGGAGGTCGCGATCGTGAAGGCGACGCGGCACGAGGAGCTCCCGCCTGAGGAGCGGCACGTGCGGGAGATCCTCAGCCTGACCCGCTACTCGCGGGCCCACGTGGCGGCGTGCGTCACCGCCGTGTCGAGGCGGCTGAGCCGGACGAGGAACTGGGTGGTGGCGGCGAAGGCGCTCATGCTCGTGCACCGCCTCCTCCGCGACGGCGACGCGGCGTACGAGCACGAGGTCTTCTTCGCCACCCGGCGCGGGACCCGCCTCCTCAACATGAGCGACTTCCGGGACGCGTCCCGCTCCGAGGACTCGTGGGACTTCTCCGCGTTCGTGAGGACGTACGCGCTTTACCTCGACGAGCAGCTCGAGTTCCGCATGCAGAACCGCCGCAGGAAGCGGAGGGGGTTCACCTACGACGAAGAGGAGGGGGAGGAGGAGGAGGAGGCCGCGGCGGCGGCGAGGGCTCTCACGCCGGCGAAAGAGATGAGCAATGAGTTGGTCTATTCGAGAATCCATCACTACGTCCACATTCTTCAGCGATTCTTGGCATGCAAACCTACAGGTTAGTTTTTCTAAAATGGCACGCTACAAAATGATTTTTGTTTTAATATTTAATACGGAGTACAAGAGTAAAATTTTTATTTAATAGATATTCAAAATTCGCCCAACTTAACAATGAAAAACTCATTTAACAAAAAAAAAAATTGTGACTTGTTTTTCAGACGATGAATTGGTTAATAATTTTAACAAAAAATATCTATGCTTTAGTTACTCCCTCCGTCCAACAATAACGTTCAATGTTTATTATTTACCTGGTCAAACTTTATTCAATTTGTTGGCATATTTTCATTGACCATTTGACAAAATAATATAGTCATGTAATATCTAGTATTGTAAATCTTTTTATGTAGTCTTCAAATATTTAATTCTTTGAAAATAATTCCAGTCAATCATCAGGGGAACGCACAACGAAAATATTATTGTTGGACGGAGGGAATATTTACTTTAATTAAAATCGGGTCGCATATTATTTTCAAACGTTATAATGGTAAAAGGTTTTTTAAAAAAAATATTTATACTTTTAAATAATTACTGGTAATATTTTTTTTTTGAAAAAAATATCAGGTGCTGCAAAGAGAAACAGGATAGTGCTGGTAGCTCTGTATCCGGTTATCAAGGAAAGCTTCGTAATATACCATCAAATGGCGGAACTGATGGAGATCTTGATTGACCGATTCATGGAGCTCAGCATTCCCGAATCCGTTAGAGTCCACGAGATTTTCTGCCGAGTCGCCAAGCAATTCGACGAGCTTGAGCTCTTCTACAACTGGTCCAGATCCAGCGGCATCGCCAGGTCCTCCGAGTACCCCGACGTGGAGAATTATCCGCAGAAGAAGCTCGATCTCATGGACGATCTCATCCGAGAGAAATCCGAGATCGAGTGGAGGAGGCGCAACGAGCACGCGCCGAGATCGGACGAACGGGAACCAGATCCGGATCTGGATCCGGACATGAACGCGATTAAGGCTCTTCCGCCGCCGCCGACGACGCAGGGAGATCTATTGGCGGAGACGAAAGAGGAGGAGACGTCGGAGAAGGAGAAGGTAGCAGTAGTAGGCGATTTGCTGAGCTTGGCGGGAGATGAAGCCGCGGCTCCGCAAGACGACGCGGACCGATTGGCTTTGGCTTTATTCGACGGCGGTTGTGAGTCGGGATCCGCCGCCGCCGCCGGCGCGGTTTCGCCGTGGAAGGCATTTAACGATTCCGGAGATTGGGAGACGGCGCTGGTTCAATCCGCTAGTTACTTGTCGAGCCAGAAGGCACAACTTCCCGGAGGCTTTGACACGTTACTTCTCGACGGGCTATATAAACAGGCAAGCGTCAAAACACTTCATATCTCACAATTATATACGGAGTACTTCCCTAGTTCCCTCCACCTCAAGTACTCTCCCAAGTATATGTTCGATTTTGACATTTATCATCAATTATTTTTTATCTTTGATTAATACTCTCTCCGTCTTAAAACTTTCTTCCCGATTCGCAAAACGAAGAAAAATCCTAAGTTTTTTCAATCTATTTTATTTAAATATTGGTATAGAAATAAAAAATAAAACATGCATATTTAAAAACTACATCAAAAGTTTAACAAAACAAGTGGTGACAAGAATATTTTATTTTATCATATAGGCCATGAAAAAACACAAATAAATATAAATTCCCGTGAAGTTGGAATAGTGCTCTGGGATGAAAGTTTTAGGACGGAGGGAGTAATATATAAAACTTATAAATTATCTTGATTAGATAAAATAATATTTTGAAAATACTATATAGCATAAATCTAATAAAATTATTTCTATATTAATATATAATATCAATTTTATTTTATTAGAGTTCAAAATATGTTAATTTTGATTACAAAAAATTGAAATTATTATAACATATATAAATATCAAAACTACAAGATTAAATTACATTCACTTACCCTAAAATATCATTTTCACTTTTTAACAGTTATTTTTATTAATTATTTAATAAAATAACACAATTATTCCACTTTTTGTTTGTAGTTTTTTAAATACAAACTATCCGTGTAAATTTTATTTTTGAGTTTATAAGGAATACTCCTTAGTTCCAATTTAAAATTCAACATGAATAGTAAGAAACAACTTCGGTAGAAATACATAATAATCCGTTTGGGACATGAAATTGACGAAATTGGAATTGATTTGAAATTAGAATTCTATAAAATTGAATTAGATGGAATTGAATTCTTCAATTTTAATTCATTTTTTGCACTACTAATTTCAAATCCACATATTTATGTGTTACCAAACAATAAAATTTGAATTGAAGTCTCTAATTTTAATTCTATGACTTGAATTTCGTGTATCAAACGAATTGTAAAAGAATTTAACCAAAAATAAGTAAACAATTCCAATCAAACCTAATACACTAATTAAAATGCTTCTCCATCCTTTTTAATGCTCGTGTTTAATAAAAATGGTCCCATTTCACTTATTACCACCTTTAATAAACAATATTTGAAAAGCAAATAGTAAGATTGAGATTTATGCAAATGAGAGGTTTTATGAAAGACATGTTCCATATCCTGAATGGAATGTGAGACTTTTTGGATAAATCATTAAAAAAAGGTAAGACAATTATTGCGGGAAGAAAGTATATCGATAAAATGAAGCAATCTAGATGTACTCCATGTCTCCATTCCTTTAAACTTTCCTTTACTCCATATCAATAAACAATATTTCATGTATCACAAAAATTTAAAATATTTAATTAAAAGTGAATTAGGAAAACATCACATATAAACACTTGTTTGATTCTCCCAATGTTGAAAAAGCTTTCAAAAAATTATGTAAATCAAAAACTTTAGTTCCATACCTACTCTACTCTCTGTTCCAAATGTATTGTGTTTTTTCTACTATTTGTCTCTCAATTCACACAGTTCTCACTTTTTAAGCACAAATATTAGGAAGGAGACTTGTTTCATACTTTCATCACTTTTACCCAAATCTACACTTGTAAAAACTATAGGGTACAATGAATCATGCAATGGCAACCTCCAACACGATGTCCACCGGGAGTGCGAGCAGCATCGCGTACGGGCCAACTATGTTGGGCCTCCCCGCACCGGTGGAGTGCAGGCCCATCGGCCCACATGGATACGTGGACCCGTTCGCAGCGTCACTCTCCATCCCGCCGCCAGGGTACGTACAGATGTCAGAAATGGAGAAGAAACAGAGACTCTTAATGGAAGAGAAGCTAATGTGGCAGCAATATGCAAGGGATGGGATGCAAGGCCGCCAGGGTACGTACAGATGTCAGAAATGGAGAAGAAACAGAGACTCTTAATGGAAGAGAAGCTAATGTGGCAGCAATATGCAAGGGATGGGATGCAAGGCCAGGCCGGGTTCGCGAATGTCCAAATGACCAACTTTTACCCGTACACCCGAACCTATTGATCGAAAAAGAAACAGGTCTTTTGGGTCTCTGCATTGTTTGTAGGACCTTGCTAAGGACACCCCCATCTCTCACTTTATCTTTTTCACAAACATCTACCCCAACAAGATACTTTAGCATTTTTCTTGATGTATATATATATATATGTCCCAACAAGAAACTCTCAAAAAGCTATGGAAGGTTTAAGGCATGGAGATATGGACAAAGTCAAATGAGATCATTCTGAAGAGTTGTAAGTTGTGTGGCTCTTTTTTTTTTCTTCTTATTGAAGTTTTTGTTTCTGTTTTTGTTCTTTTTTTAAATGTGTCCCTAACTAATTCATACTCTGTATCAATTATTCTTTTATCATGCCCCATAATTTTTACATAAAAAGATTTTAAAAAGCAATATTTCCATCTGAAAAACACTGCAGTAAGAATAAGTTGTGAATATTGACACAATTTTGAAGATTTTTTTTATTACTTGTTTGTGTGTCTAATAAATACGAATAATTCCCAGGCACACAACTTGGGCGAATTTTCTAAACGGTCCTTTATAACAAGGGGAATTTTCCAATACAGTCTTCTACTCTAAATTATTCTCATCGTAGTCCTCTATTCTAAATTATTCTCTTAATAGTCATCCTTTCTTAGTCTTCTACTTTCTAAACATGTCTTAAAATATTGTTCTCCTGTATAAAAATGTGATCATTACACTGCAGCCAAACTTAAAAGGCAAGAATCAAGAAATAACAACAGAAATGCAATTGTCATATCTCTCTTTCAGCACCCACCACTTAGTGCAGAACATACTACAGAACTAACCTGAACTTGTGGGAAATGAGTTGGTCATGAATGCACCTGAACTTCTCTTTGAGTTTTTGTATTCTTTTCAACTCAATTTCAGTTTCCCGCTTCTGCCGCCCGAACGAATGCTGCAGGTTGGAGATGTCGAAAACATTGTCCAAATCGTCTTCGAATGCAGCCTCTAAGTCTTCGCGTAGGAGAGCCGGGAGCTTGTCCACGACTGGCATGAGGAGAAAACAGTTGAACTGCAGAAGAATGCAGAAGCAACTGTTCATCACAACTAAAAATAATGCTCAGCTCCTTCCGTCCCACTATTTTAGGGACATGAGGGATTGGCATGGAAATAATGAAAAGATTGTGGTTGATATTGATGTTAAAAAGATAAAGAAAGAACAAATATAAACCATACAAATATGAGCAAATATGGTTTGGGACAAATTGTGGGATGGACAAAAAAGGTAAAAAGGGTCAAAATCAATATGACAGAGGGAGTACTGTGTATTGTGTAACAGAAGGGGGATTAGTGGATTACGCTATGATCCAGTTTGGTAGGAGTGAATTTGGATGAATGAGTTGAATTTTCTCCTAGTAGTGCTTCTAGCTGCATATCTCTAATGCTGGAATGCGATGAATTGCTGAAAAAGATAATATGATTTTTTTTAAATAATAGTGTTTGGTAAAAAATCTAGCATGGTCGGTTCAGCTAGTGTTGTTAAATAAGACTGTTTGGTAGAAAATATGGCTCATAATACTAATAAGCCAAAAACAAGTTTTACAGAACAGGCTCTAAGTTGTTGAAATGCTCTTTTTTCAGTTGAATTGTTGTGACCATCATAATTAAGCTTCTTTCAATTCTATATTATAGACCATATCTTCAGCCGGTAAAGAAGACATACCTTCAATTCTGTTGATGCCAAGAAATATTCTCTAATGCCATGAAATATTTGCTGAACCAATGCATAAACAATCCTTTCAGAAGAAGGAGCGAGCCTTCTGTTCCACAGTGTGCTGTCTAAGAGGTCGGCTAGCCTAGTTTCAGATGTTTGGCTACTCAGACATGTTTCATTCCTTGAGGTAACCTTCACATCTGTTCGGGACTTGGCTTCCTGCTTGGTACTATCACCACCAGCTCCAGATTCAGCTGAAAATTCTTGACTAGGAGAATTTTCCGATCCGCTAAATGAATCTAGGAACTGGCGTAATCCAGCTCGGTTCTGAAAGTGTGATAGAATGTGATTAGATAATTCATAGTGCAAAGGTGTTTGGGACTGATTTTGAAAATGATTTCCAGCTTTTGCTTGAAAGTTGGAATGAAAACACTGAGAAATGTTTAGGTGTCTAATTTTCAGCTTTTTACAGAGACAGAGATGGGCAGAAGCTGAGAACCACCTCTGAAATGTTTTTAGACTCTGATTGTCAAAATTATCACTTTTCAAAAAGGCCTAAGTTCACTCAAACACCCTTTAAATGGGACATTGAAAAAAAATAAGCATCTTTCCAACCTTATTATGGAGAGACCACGTAACATATCGGGTTGTGCTGACTAAGTCCTCCATGCATCTGGAGAGAGACAGACAAAGAACCAACCAAAATTATACTCCGTAATTAATGTCTGTTGGAATTCTGAAAAAACTAGAGAAGAAAACAGAGAGAAGATTTGAGAGAAAAAATGGTGGAAAATATAAAATACAATCGAGCTCCATAAACTTTATATAGATATATGTTCAAACTCATTTTACTTTTTAATTCTATAAAATTTAAACTCAAAATCTTAATATTTGCAACGTTTTAATAAAAACTCCAATGATCAGAGTTCTTTTTCATTTTCATTTTTCAAGATAGATCCAAAGTAAATGACTTCAAGGAAATAACTTTTAATGGCATTTATTTTGATTTCCTTAGCTTTTTTCACCATGCAAACCGGGTATTTTAAGTGTTGGGCACAGCATTGGCCCAAGAAGTGTTCAGACCGGCGGGTAAGGCCAAACCCATCAAAAATCAAGCTCAAACTCTATTTTTGTAGTTAATAGAAATTTTAGAAACAGATTGAAAAAGCACAATAATAAATTTCAGAAGAGTTTAAAAGCCCATGCGGAACTCGGAAAAGACTAGGGAATAAAAATAGGGTGGAAAATTTAGGTATAATTGGTAAGGTAAATTCTTATATGGGTCTTAGGTCCATGATAGAATCCCTCCTTTTGGAAAAGCGTAATGAAAAACTGTGCATTCAATGGAATCAAAGATCAAGGTATTACTTTTCACGGCATGATCTTTCAGTGGATTCTGCAAATTTGTTAAAGGCAGAGGTAACTCGTCTAAGAAATACATCATGACCACTAAGGTACTCCCCATCTTTCTGCAGAAACCCAGCCAAAATAAGAGGACCCAGAGGAAATTATAAGCGTGTAAATATTCTACAAGCAGAAGAAAGATAAATTTTTATTTAAAAAAAAATCCAAACCTGAAGGAGAAAAACTGCAATTGGTAGTAACCTCTTAAGAATGTGCAATAGTCTACACCCCAACTACACCAATAGATAAGGTATCAGAAAACAACAAGGTTTATATTCAAACTTCAAAGCATGCTAGAACTTTAACTTTTCATGTGAACTTCAAACATTAAGGGTCTGTTTGGAACTAGGGAAAGCAATTAGGAAACAATAGAAATTTTAAAATTAGAAGGAAAGAAAATAAGAGGGAAAATAAAAGATAGGCTAAAACTCAATTAGTTAATAATGGATATTTCTTGATACATTAAGACAATAAAATCTATGTAGTACGTAAAAAGGAAATTAACTTTTCTTAGCAATTAGTTTTCCTTTCATGATCATTTTTCAGGGCCCAAACTTGCCCTAGGCCTTAGAAAGGCAGAAAGGTAGTATTGAAGCGGTCACCTGATGGAGAAAGGGTTCAAACGTATCACGGGCCTTTGCAACGGCAATTACACACGCAGTCCTGAGTTCTCAATGTTTAAAGAAGTCAATAATATATTTACAAAAAACAAGATAATAGTAAACAGAATAATATCATTTCAGGTATAGCTGGAAGCCTGTAAGTTGTGTAAACCTGGAATAGTTAGTTCCATCATGAATGTCTTCAACTCCACAAGCATTCACAATTTCTTCACGTGTAATTGGAGGGCATTTTACACCTCCAACAACAAACCGGAATTCAGCCATTGCACGATGATACTGAGCACCGCCATAAAGACGCATCCCAGCATTCTACCCAAAGAGAGGGAAAACATTGAACTTTTAAGCAACACAAATCCAGACAATGGTTTTGCTGGGGGGGTGAAGCCGGCCCTGGCCAGCCCCAAGTTCGGTCAGGGAAACCTTTTTGATAAGTGATATTTTAAAGTGAGCCCCGGCAATGGAACCAGAGGAAATATTGGGTTGAAGTCTAGACATGCTATACTCTAGTTGAAACTCTTAAAAGGTATTTCCAATAAGAAAATATGTGGGAACACACCAGAAGTGAGAAAAGGATCAGACAATGATTTACCCTCAACGGTTAAGGTAATTCTATACCTGTGTGCCTGCATTCTTAAGTATATACCTAGTGGTTCACCAATGGGTATGAATTGTTCCACACGGTCAATTCCATGTTTTACAAAAAGGCTTAGGTAACAAAAAGAAAACATAAACTGCAGCTAAAGACACTTAAGGAGGCTTACAGGTATTAGCTTGTGTGGAAATTGAAGACCATCAGAAGCAACAAATGCCCCTCCATTGACTCTTTCATCTTGCAGAGATTCACCTGCAATACAGAGGTAAGATAGACCAAAAACATACTCCTTACTTGAAAGCACGCTCCCATTCACACTTTAAACACTAGAAGTATATGGCTCTTATATTTGCAATATGAAACTTTATTACAATAAGTTGACTAATGACTGACTAGTGCAGTAAGAAAAACGTCAAAGGGTATAGATGTTATAGTTTGAGCTTTTACACGCATGATATTTTGATAATAGAGAAAATGAAGTGTGAGACATAACCAAATTTCTGTTTTTGAAGTTAAGTTAATCTGTGGAAAGAATTGATGTATCAGAGCTGCCAAGAAGATGGATTACCAAATTTATCAGGTGGTGCAACAACTGTCCCTTTCAGTAACAGTGATAGCTGAAAAGTAAACGGAATTTCAGTCATAAAATTAATAAGCTAGCAGGGGTCTTCAAAACTCCAAATACACTCAAAAAATACAGTGATATGCCCACAGGTTATGGGCTTATGGGCAATGGCGGTCCATGACATGTAAATTCTATATCATAAAAAGTACATAAAGAAAAAAGAGTTTTGTTTTATGCTGTAATGCCAGTGAATCAGTGATACTATAAGAGATAAATTTCTTAAGAGAAGTGTACCCGGATTAGACAAAGAGCTTAACCTTAGTTAGAAAGAGATCGTGAAAAATTCTGCCTTTTTCCTTGAGTTTAACTTCATCCAACGAGCTGAAGTACACATTGATGAAATAAAGTTGGCTAGTGCATTATAACCAGTACAGAAACAAAATCTAGATCACCCAAACAAGATGCAAACCTGAGTTCCTCATTAACTTCTTTTAGCTTCCTTGTGCTGCTTCTATACTCTTTTTCAAGGAGTGGAATAATTGATGGAACGCTGTCCATATACCTTACAATGGCACACGTTTCAAAGTTTCAGAACTTTATAAGCAAAGGTCTCGTTTGGTAAGGGCAATATGGCTGAAATGGTTGAATCTGTTTACTTATATGAAATTAAAAGTATTTGGTGACATATGTTCCAGCCAAATAAATATTATGATGATCATAACTGGATACCAAATGGGACTTAAATCATCTGAGCAGAGCCTCAATAGAAAAAAAATCCGTAGTGGTAATAAAGGAAACTCGTAACCTTTTAAGAAGCAATTCTTCCAAAAATATCCTAAGACTGCTAACACCTATTCTGCTTTTTTCCTGTTCGGAGAGTGGTCTCCCAAGCTTCTCTTCAAGAGCTGCAATGTCTTCCATTTCCCTTGAAGAAATAGCCTATCAACCAGTGTTTATAGAATTTAGAAGGATAAGAGAACTTACTCAAAAGACCTGCAGTGAACTGATTGACATTTTAAGTCGTCGACACCCACCATTAAAACCAAAGGGGTCACTTAATATGGTAAAGAAGAATTATCCACCCACAAAAATCTCTGGTTTATGTCCCATCTTACTAAACCACAATCTTTACAGTCTATGGTATAAAGTATAAACCTCAAAGTATGAGAAAAGCAACTAGATCTGTTTTACCAAACATTATGGACTTGGGCATTAGAATTATTAGTTGTATGATAGCCTAAAACTAGAGCACAAATATGAAAGATCTCTTGGGTAAAGTATATTTTTACCTGTTTGAAATCATCGTTAGAACTGTAGACTGATTCAGGTCCAGAACCAACTCTACCAGATGGCACAGATGTGAAAAATGGAGAATCACCTAACATAAAGCCATCAAGTGTAGAAGCAGGAGGTGAAAGGAAGACTTCAACGTCTGAAGATCGTGCAAACTGAGGTATTTTGGTGTCAAGTTTTGTTGCAACAACGACGGTTCTAGACAGCTCAGGATCAATCTGTTTTTTATTCAAACCATCCGCATAGTTGGTTTTTTCCACTTATAAATGCTATAGTAATAGTGAAAATGCAAAATGTTTGATAATTGAACAATAATAATGAAACATCGAAGAAATGCATACCTGCATTACTATCCTCCTTGTAGTTGCATTACTCCAATCATTGCAATCTTCAAGGCATAATATGATAAATTCCTTATGCAGCATTTTAGCTCTGACGAGAGACTCTACAGCACGAGCTTGAGCCTGCAATTATCAGTCTCAAACTTCTTATCTCGGTCTTGATTCGAAGACATTTTTTGAAAATAGCCAAAAACAAAAGGTACCTGGAAAGCCCGATTCTTCTTACTGGGAGCAGGCGCAACAAGTCCGGGAGTGTCTATAATTGTAAGGTTTGGGCAATATTTGTATTCTATTCTGATTATTATTTCCTTTGCAGAAAATTGACATGGCTCCTTCTCCAACCTCATATTTTCAGCTTCTATAAATGCCTAAGTGAAAATTCCCCCAAAAAAAAAAATCACAAGAGCAGTTTGCGTTTATATACACAGGCAATGCAACAACAACAATGTCACAAAAATTCTCACAATTACACAACAAAATTCTCAGTTCCATTACTTCGATAGAAGTCCAGAGTGAGTAGCGCACCTGAATTTCCTGGAGAGATCTTTCGTGGGAAACGGAGGGGTCGGAATCGGACAAGAGATTGCAGAGAGGGGAGTCGCAGTCGGGGTTGTACTTCATGTGTAGAGTGATCGGGCGGCGCGTCTTGGTGCCGCCGCCGACGTGGTTGAACTGGAAGCCCATTAGGGCCTCGACGAGGGCGCTCTTGCCGTCCGTTTGGTGGCCCACCACCAGCACCGCCGGCGCGTCGAACGGCGTGTCGAACTCCTGAGCCAATCCGTGAAGCTCATTGTAGGCCTCGTAAAGCCTCCATCTTCCTTCCAATTCTTCCCTTTTCATCTCAGCTGAGCCGCCGCCGCCGCCGCCGTCTCTACTTGGCTCCATTTTTAGATGTTGGGAAGAGCGCGTGAATGTTGTCCGTATTTGCTGCGGGTTTATATCTACTCAGTCCCTAAATATTTGCTCTTGTATTCCCGAGGTAAAATATCAAGTTTTTTTAATTTATTTTATTTACATATTGGTATAGAAAATAAAAATAAAATTTACATATCAAAAAACTAAATGAAAAGTTCTTCGAAATAAGAGGTGTCAAAGATATTTTATTTTATCAAATAACCAATGAAAATGTAGAAATAAACAAAAGTTCCCGCGACTGCTGAAAAAGCAAATGTTGTAAATATTTTGGGACGGAGGGAGTATTTTAAAAGTATATTTTAGGATCGTTTTTGTACACGGGATTGATGGAATTGGAATTGATTTGAAATTAAAATTTCATGGGATTCAGTTCCATATAATTGAATTCACCCATTTCAATTCATTTTTTGCACTACCAATTCCAAATTCACATAATTTTTGTGCTACCAAACATGAGAATTGAAATTGAAGTCCTCAATTTCATAGTTTGAATTTCATGTACCAAACGGAGCCTCAGTTTTCAAAATTCAAATTTAAGAAGCATATTTTGGACGGGCTATAATAGCTTAATTCTCATGCGAGGCCCAATTTCTCTAAGCAATTCAACGGCCCATTTGACAAGTGTACAAATATAAATTCTAAAGATAGATAAATTCTTAAGTGATCTTAAAGTCCATATAATTAGTGGAAATTAGTATATAAATATCATAAAAGGTTTGAACTTTTTTTCAAATTAAAAAAAATCATTGTAAGTCCATAAAACTTGTAAGAAATGCCACATTTTATATGTGAACTTTAGGACTATAGAAGCACAACTCATGTTAATACTATGTATCTCTCCACTATGGTTATTTTGACAAGAAGTTTAGTTGTATACTACCTAATACAAAGTATCACAGCAATTGCAATTGGATCACTTATGATCGTTGATTTGACAGTCAATTTTATAATATCGTTAAACAAATGTCTACTACATACCTCTTAACTCGTATTAATGTCTATTATAATTTTACGTTTGATTTCTAAATAAATATCTACTATCCAAAATACTCCTATATGTTTTGTTTTTTGAATTAATGTAGAGTGTATTTTTTATTTTGAGACGAGGAAATAATATGCTCCCTCACTTTTAAAACATTCTTCCGAGTTAGTCAGTTACTACTCACCCCTTATTTTGTAAAACTTTTGATGTACTCTCTCCGTCCTAAAATGAACTTCCCCGTCACTATTCACACAGTCAAATTTGAATCATTTTTTAAAATTATTTTTAATAGTTATTTGATAAAATAATATAATCATGTCATCTCTTATTTTGTAGAACTAATGTAGTTTTTAAATATATAATTTTTATTTTTAAATTGAATTGAAAATAATTTCAGTCAAACCTCGTAAACCGAACTGGGAATATTATTTTAGTACGGATGAGTAGTTTTTAAATATATAATTTTTTTAATTTTAGACTTACAGTTAAATAAATTAAATTAAAAATAAAGTTGGTTAAACTTCGTAAATAGAAACGAGAAAAACATTTAGAATGGAGGAAGTATCCCAAGTTTGATTTTTTTTTACCACAAAATATGAGAGAGATCAAATTTGGTTGTCCAACTAAATCAAAGAGTCGGTAAAACAATTCTGCATATTCCTCACACACCTTTAAACAATTTACTCCTTCCGTCCCCCATTTGATTACAAATTGCGGGTTACGAAGTAAAATTTCATACTTTTTGAAATCACTTTATTTACAAATTGGTATATCAATAAGATATAAAAATTACATATTAAAAAACTACGTCAAAAGTTTCTACAAAACAAGAGGTGACAAGAATATTTTATTTTATCAAATACTTAATAAAATCGCGTAAACAAACAAAAGTTATCGAGAGGAGAAAAAAAATTATAATATATTTAGGGACGAATGGAGTATTAAAAAACAGTTTAATATTCATCCTACAATTATTGGTCCTTGTGGAAGTAAAAGGTTCGAGTAACGGTAAAAATAAAATCGTCCGTAACTCCCACACCGAATAATGACAAATAGCTAAACCTGAAAAAATAAAACCATATGAAAGCATGCAAGGTAAATTCCATTAATTTACAAAATTATTAGAAAGATAACTCAACTATCCCATCAATTCCATTTCATTCAAATTATTACTAATTTGTCTTTAGTATGAATGGTGGGATAGTTGAGTTATCTATCAAATAAATTCTAATATTATTTTTTTGTTGGTCTCTTGAACTAACCTCACAAATATGAACATTATATTCTCATTTGGGATAATTTTTATTTTGAAACCCTTAGATAAAATTGACTTTGTCTTTGATACAATTTAATAATAATGGGTCTTATTGAATAATGAAATTCTAATTTACGTACAAGAAGAAATATTTTTTTATTTAATATTTATACAATAAATAATTACACTCCAATAGCTAATAGGCAACTCAAAAGGCTATTTCTCCTAGTTTTTTATATTTTGGCATTTTAGACTCTAACACCCAAGAGTCATTTATCAAACACTATTTAATTGTTTGGTCAAAATAGTTAAAGTTAGTCAAAACTGTAAAAAGTCATCCGAAAAACCAATATCCAAACTTGCCCATAATATAAAAAAAATATTTTTGTCATTGTTTAAGACTTCATACATTATAAATCAAGATATCAGGATTAAATAATAGATTTACTAAAAAATGAATAGTCAATGAATTATGTGTGGCCCATACTTATTATTTATAAAGACAATGAGCATTAAAGTATATAGTAAATGAGTAATAGGATCACAAACAAAAAGTCCAATAAAAAACAAAAAAAAAAGAGTCCCATTTCATTGATATCCGGCATTTGAATTTCACAAGTTGAACCCTTGGAAAGGAATAAAAAAAATCTTTGTTACAATTGCCTTCAACACATTACAAGTTTTATGGAACTCATCCAAATAATGGAAAAGAATAGTCATATGATCAAATCCTCACCGTCAACAAATGTTTGAGATGACCAATGTGAAGAACATGAAGTCCCAACGCCAATCTCCTCTTCCCAAACTCATCCACCACACTCAAATCCTTACACGCGTCCAACCCAAATCTCACCGTCTCCGCTTCGTTCGGGCCCAACTCGACTTTCTCGAACCCCACCAAGTGCTTGCGTGGGGCGCCGTGCACGCGTGGCAGGGCCGAGAACAGAAGGACCGTGTGGGCCCCGTGCACAGGTCCTGCGTTCTTGACCCTCACGCGGAAGTCAATCAACCCCGAGCTGACGCAGAGCCGATCCGTGGCCTCGATTGACTCGCAGGCCGTGGATCGACACGCGTGCCCTTCCTCGAGGGAGAGGGTCACGGTTTCTCGAGCCTCGAGCATTGTGTGCTCGAATTTGGTGTAGCTCAACCCGTACCCGAACTTGAACACGGTCGGCCCGGTGTAGAAGCGGTATGTGCGGCCCGGGTAGCCCGCTTTCGGGTCGGGTCTCATCCGCATATCAACCATGGAAATATTGTCTGCAAATGCTTGTGGGTACCATGTGTTTGGTAGCCTTCCACCTACACATACCATGAAGCATTTGTTCATATTACAATAAGTAATATAATTAAGAGGTAATAGCATTGCTCATTAACAAACACAATAATCAAGAAACCATTATTAAGAGGTAAAATATGGACTTAATTACTTGGATTATGGTATCCAAAGAGAACATCAGCAATGGCGGCGCCACCCGCTTCGCCGGGGAATCCGACCCAAAGAATGCCTGTGATTTTCGGATCCTTAACGGCGAAGGAAACGTCCATTCCAGCTCCGCACATGAGCACCAGAATCACGGGCCCCTTTGAAACTTTCGCGATCTCAGATACAACAAAAGATTGTTGCCTGGGAAGAGTGAGATTCACCCGGTCCCTCGCTTCCGACTCAATGGACTGATCCGAACCCATGACCAGGACCACGACTTCGGCTGCAGACGCTATCCTCTTCGCGTCGTCCAAGAGGAGGTGGGTCCCGCATTTGATGTCGTCGCACCCGGGTGCATAGTCTGTCTTCACCATTGCTGCTAGATCTTGTAATAGGCTTGTGTACTTGCATGGTTTGCCTAGATAGAAAGGTCTATAAAATAAGTATGAAACTAAAAACTACAGAAAACTAATAATTGTATAAAATACACTCTTCATTATACAAAAAAGAATTACTCATTTTTTTTCAAAGAATTTAATAAATATGATGAACACTATAAAGAAAAAAAAAAGAATTTAAGAATCACTAAAATTTATCTAGAAGAGAAAGTAGATTTGTGGGTCACACGTTTTTTCATAAAAAATATAATACTTTCGTCTTTGAGAATTTTTCTAGTTTTGATTTTTTCAGTCAATCATTTCAATCTGTGACCTATAATTAAATAAAATATATATTGTATATTAATTAGATAAAATAATATTTTGAAAATATTTCATAAAATAAAAATAATAAAATTGTTTTATTAATGAAAAAAGTCAAAAATAAATAAATATTTAGAGACTATCAATTTTTTGAAATCTATATGTACCTTCATAATTTCCAAGCATTGTGTGTGGGTTATTAGCGTTGGGCCCAATGAGCGCCAAGGACTTGACAGAGCTGCGGGAAAGGGGGAGGGATCCGGCGTCGTTTTTCAACAAGACAATGCCTTGCCTCGCGGCTTCACGGGCCAGCTCCTGGTGGGCCGGACTACAGACATCAGCGGGCCCAAGATTGCCGTAAAATTGTTTTCTTGGATCGCCGTCAAAGAACCCGAGTCTCATTAAAGTGGCCAGATTATTGGAAACGGCTCGGTCTATTTCAGATTCCTTCACTAGCTTCCGGTCTATTGCCCCTTGTGTGTGCTGGGCCAGGAATGGCCCACAATTTAGATCCACCCCTGTTACATTCATTATGAAGTTTTAGTTTCAAGACGTAGATCAGCTGGTCGAGATGGTTGTGTCACAGGAATTAACTCGGGTTTTTGATTCTCATATGGAGAAATAAATTAGACTTTAATCACAAATTGATGGCCAAAAGTGGAATTTACATCTGGTACTTGCAGATGCCCGATAATTAGTACAATCACTTACCATCGCAATCGTCACAAAACGAGTTCATGTTATATTCATTATTAATACTCTGATTGAAACAATTTTTATTAAATGCCGATGAGTTTTAGAATTTCCATGAGTTTTAGAAATTCCATTGGAAAGAAAAAAAAACCACCTGCTTTCAAGCCTAAAGCTGCAGTCTCTTCTGGCGTTTTGGTCATGTGCTGGTAATTGTACATGGCATTGAAAGAGTCACAATCTGTTACTATGTACCTGCACCATTGTTAACACATGCTTACACGTCATTATTAGAGCATTGACAATGGCAAGACAAAAATGAAATGCCACACGCTGACATGGATTATTTCAACCAATAAAAAGTAACTCAGTCACCGTGTGGCAAATGAGTGGAGTGTCGTAACATACAGTGGCAAGTCGTTGTTTTTGTCTATTTTTGCACTTTTTAATGATTTTTATTTATAAAAATTTATTTTATTATTAAAATATGTTTACTTTTTTTAAAAAATATTTTTTTTCAAAAATTACAAATATTAAAAATATTAAAAATAATAAAAAATGAGAGAGTCATGCCTTGCACATGGAATGAAAAGTGAGGTGGAATGGCCATGGAATGCCATGATTTGAGTGGAAGTTGCTGACATGGCATGGCAAGGCAAGGCATTGCATTGCCATTGTGAATGCTCTTAATAAAAGTATCCTCATGTAATTGATAAATAAATCTAGTTTAAAGCATAGTTTTAAGGAGAATTTACTCAAATAGTATTAAAACATAATGGCTTTCCCTAAATAGCATCACGTTTTTTCCAATGTAGCATTTTTAGTCATTATCCATTAATCATTATTCAAGTAAATATTTGTCATTACTGGACATTATAAACATTATTAAGTGTTATTTAGAAAATAAAAACAATTTAAGTATTATTTAAAAAAATGGCTTAAGTTTTAGTGTTATTTAGTGCAAATATTTCTAGTTTTATTGTATCACATTTTCATACTCCGTATCATTTATTTATTTAAAATTACATTTTATAATTTTCATAAATGAGTTATTTGAAACTCAAATTGGGAAAATTTCCCTAGGACCAAAGAACTGAAAGAAGTATATTGCATAAATTTACCCGTTCAATTTCCACTGGCCTCGGATAACGCCGGCAAGAAGGTCAAAGTCGCCGCAGGCGGGCTTGCCGTTGACCTGGTTATACGAGCACATGACGCTCGCCGCCTTTCCCTCGCGCACGCAACGCTCGAACGGCGGCTGGTACGTGTCGGCCATGTCCTGCTCCGTTACGGCGGCGTTGAAATTGTACCGCTGGATCCCCTTCCAGTCCTCCAGATCGTACGCCGTGTAATGCTTGCAACAGGCGGCCACTTTGAGCTTGTCCTCGCCGCCGCCGCCATGTTCTTCCCTCTCTTGTAGGCCGCGGACGAAGGCGACCCCGTACTTGGAGGTGAGTGTGGGGTCCTCCCCCGGGACTTCCTGGCCCCTGCCCCACCTCGGGTCCCGGAATATGTTTATATTTGGGGACCAATACGTCAGCCCTGCCAATCCTAGATTGTGCATTGCTCTCGCCTCCGTCGAAATCACCTTTTATTTTAACCATTTTAAGTTTTTAGAATCTTTTTTTTTTTTTTTGAAATTATGTCTAAGAAGTCAAAATTGTATATATTATACTCCCTCCGTTCCTCTGTATTTGTCCACTTTCATTTCTGCACACCATCCAATGCACTTCTTTAATCCATTTTATCTTATAATTTGTATATTAAAAAACTATATATTAATAATCTATATGTTAAGACAAATCAAACAAGATCATACATGACTATATTTAGGCTTACACATTGAGAGAATTTGATGAGTCAAAGTGCTTAGATGAACAGTTCCAAACGTGAAATGTGGACAAATACATGGGGACCGAGGGAGTATATATATTCTTTGTTCAAAAAGTGTGAAATGTAAAACCAAACCAAACCTTGGCAATGGCGTGAAACAAGGTGACATTGAAAGAAGCAGCAGTGAGGAGGGGCTGAGGGAAGCTGGTGGCGGCCGGAATTGGGCCGGAAAACTTCACGCCCGGCCCAGTATCAGAGAGCCCATGTAGCGCCTCCGACCACCACTCGTAGCCCGGAATCCCGAGCCGGCTAACATTCCCGGCCGTGTTGACCAGGAGCGTTATCTTCTCCGGCATCGTCAACCGGGCCACGAGATCCGCGACCCGGGTCTTCACGTCCAGAGCAGGGTCGCAGAACCGCATTGCCTTCAAAGCCGGGGTTTTCTCCATGTCACAGGCGTAGACCGGACCGGGGGTTCTGGGATGGACCGGGTCGGCGTTCGAGAGGATGAGGGAGAAAATGAGGAAACAGAGGAGACTCGGACCGGAGGCCATTATGGTTTCTCCCATGACCTCTCCTTGAGGAAGTTGGGTGAACCGGGCCGGGGAGCAAGTTGAGGTTGGAACTTGGGAGAGATGGGCCTTTTATAGTTTAACTACCACGTTGTTCTTCATGTTTTTAGATGGAAGAAGATAAGTTAAGGGGTCCACTTTCTTAAGTACATACGGAGTAGATCACAGAGGAGACTCGGACCGGAGTACATTTTTTTGAAAGTATAAGGCTTTCATTCAATTTAAGTAAAATTAAATGAAAGGTGTTAAAATTTGTGAAGGATTTTACACTTTTTTTTAAATTAGTGAGTATAAATAATGGATACTTCATTCGTCTCACTAAGACCTTTACGTATACTATTCACAAGATCATAATTTATATACTTTGTTTTCCTATTTACGTATAGATTATTTGATGTACTCCCTCTGTCCACCATAGATCTTCCCAGACACTATTCACAAGGTCAAACTTAACTCTCTTTGTGTGTTTATTTTCAACACTCATTTCATAAAATAATATAGTGTTGTCACCTCTAGTTTTGTAGAACTTTTCATGTAGTTTATTGCTACATAAATTTTATATTAAAATTTTACCCATATATTCAAATAAATTGAATTGAAAATAAAGTCGGTCAAGCCTCATAACGCGCAATAAGAAGATCTTAGGTGGACGGAGGGAGTAGTTTTTTTAAATACTCTCTGTCTCATAAACTCCTTCTCCTTTCTATTTTTGTTTGTCTTACAAAGTCTTTCTCATTTCTATTAAAAAATCATGTTTACCTCTACTAAAATGAGTAGCAAAAATGGACAAAGAGCGTAGTTAAAGTTTGATTGTGTGAGTAATAAACAAGCAACTTAAATCAGAATGTATGTAATAGTTTTATTTTGAAGTTTTGTATCATCATTTAAATAAATTGAATTAAAAGTAAATTCAATCAAATCTCGTTATTTGTAAANAGAGAGTATAAACATTTCCTTCATCCCAAAAACACGGTGAGCCTCACAAACCTTTTCTCCAAAATGAAAACAAAATTGTTTTTGGGACATTCCGAAAAGAAAAAAATACTCCCTCCATTTGGTAAAACAGTTCCTGAATTCTATCAGATTTATTTTCGTAATTTGGCTTTCCAATTATATTCTTAACGTCGAAGAAAAAATAAGATATAACTCATTTAAACAATTTGTTACATTAATGCAAAATGAATGAAATATATTAAAATGGTTTTATTTGAATATATTAAATCATTTTTTGTTAAAGTGGAAGTGTTTTGTTACAAGCGAAAAAAACAAAAAAAAGGAATATTTTGATAAAACGGAAGGAGTATGTTAGTGCAATAGTGCAAGCTTAGTGTAAACTAAACATAGAATTGATGTAGAGGTTAATTTACATGAAGCAATAGAGCATGGCTCATCTCATTTGGGAAAAGTGGATCAAACACGAGGAGGAATGTGGGGGTCAAAACGGCATTGTCCATCCAAAGTGGTGATTCCTGTTGTTTGGGAATCTCCATTCTTATGTCAGACTCCCCCCATCCATTATCCAATGACCCACACCCACACACTTTACCAGTAGGCCGGCCACAGATTGGACAATTCATTACATCTCCCCGTGATTCGCACCCCCGGCGTTATGAGAGGGTAGGAAAACAAATTTCTAGGGTGACAACATTAGTGTGCAGACAGGATTTAAGTGTCTGTGTGTGTATATCTGTGTAATACTTGGAGTCAAAATGATGTCACTGTTTTGGTGTATCTCTAGCACAACCGGGGAGGACAACATTCAAGCCCCGTCTAGTACACGGAATTCAAACTATGGAATTGGAATTGAGTACTTCAATCCCAATTCCGGTGTTTGGTAGCACAAAAATTATGTGAATTTGGAATTGATAGTGCAAAAAATGAATTGGAATTGGTAGAATTCAATTCTATGGAATTGAATCCCATGGAATTTCAATTCCAATTCCGTCAATTTCGTATACCAAACGGACCCTATGGTCATTCCTCATTATTCGGGTAAATTTTGCCGAGGTTAACTGAACTTTTAGTACGGAGTATTTTGGAAAGAAAACCCTTGAAGAAGAACGGTACCACGGGGTGGGTTTCGCCACTTGGGCAAAATCATTTCCGTTACCACTATTCTTCCTTCCCTTCATCATCATACATTTCCTCTACCTTATTGGAACCCAAACAAGGTAATATTATGTAGAATTTTGGATGCACTTCAGAATAAAGTATACTTGTGTATCTGGGTATCAATATCACACACATATTGACTATATATTGGTCAAGAAGAGTGTTGCAGAATATGAAATAAGCAACTTCAACACTGGCTTCAAAACTCATTTATGCTCATTTTAGTTTCAATCATACGATCAACCCAGCGTTATTAAAACTGGATGCTCCTCTGGTTTCCGGAAGAAGATGTGTAAGCTAAGGGGAAACATTTACATTTACATTTACCCTCAGCAACGCACGAAGAGCATGGGTGTAAACTATACTGAATTGGTTGGTGTGAGAATGAAACCATGGTGGGTTAATCTTGTTTGGACAAGTTTGAGTAAGCCCGGTTTAACCATGCTAGGAGAAACCCACATTTGACAACACTTTTGACACCATAATGTCTCACAGACACATAGAGACATTTCCCGCATAAACAATTATTGTATGTGTGTATCGGTGAGACACCAAGATGTCAACGATGGTGTTAAATGTGGGATTCTCCTAGCTTTTTCCAGGCACCAACTCTTAAAATGGATTTGTTTTTATAGTTGGTATGGAAAGGGAGGCTCACACTAAAGGTAAGAATGGCTAAATATGTACATGGATATTGACAAAAATTGTGTATTATGCATGAATGGGGCGGAATATTTTCAGGAATGCTACATACAAAACTTGTGTATTGACAGAACTTCTGTATGAAGTATAGAGAATGAGGAATCACACCAATTTCAATCAGGGAATCTGGAAGATTGAGAGTGGAGTAATAAAGTGTTTGCTTGGTACTATGTTTAATTAATCAGTACATTCATTGATGTGTCTCCATGAGTCTGTCTTGTGTACATGCACACAACTATACTTTCTTTGTATGTACTCCGTACAAAACAAAGAGAGCAAAAAGCTCACTCCCACTGAGAGAGAGAGAGAGAGAGAGAGAGAGAGAGAAATCATAAAACTAAGGCTCCGTTTGTTTCTAGGAAAACAACTTGTGGTGGAAGAGTTTTTTTCTTGGAAATACCCGAAAAACAAGTTGTTTTATGTGTAATATGGAGTATAATGTTTTCAAAACAAGGTCATTTTCACAAACCAGTAAAAAGCTTCCTAAAAATGATTTCATGTGCCAAATGCAAGAAAACCAGAAAATATTTTCCTGCGCAAACAAACGGAACCTAAGTGACGGTTGATTCCAACTGACCTTGCCTGCCCTTTACTGCTACAGATCAAGAATCTGGCAGCTGACCAGCTCTGCAGGTCCATTGCTCTTTGATGCAATTACTCTCCATATGCTTGCATCAGATCCACCAAATGTGCCTGAACATGGAACGGACTGATTGTGTCTGTCGGCTTGCAAGATCACTAAATTTTGGTTTCCATCTTTAGTTATGACATTAACCTTTCCAAGAAAGCCAGCAAGTAAATATGGAGAATCAGAATCTGCAAGATCACGAATTGGTATGTCTCCTTGAATCTCCTTCCAAACATCATCTTGAGAATCATACACTTTTAAATTAACCGAATTTGATTCGCCACAAGGATCCAAAGCATAGAGTTCCCCATCAACAATCACACTCAACTTCGTCCCTGCCTGTCGAGCGGGCCACCCTTCTCCCATCCCTGAAGGCATATCACCCCACGAGTTTGTTTCTGGGTCGTACACCTCCCCACCAGCATCAACGAAGAATGGCCAACAATACAAACTTTGGGGGACGTATAGCTTTCCTCTGTAAGAACAAATCCCAGTCGCTATAGGTTTGAGAAAATCGGCTAAGAAGGCATTTGGAAGCAAATGGGCTTTGGCGAAGGGCATGTTTGGCACTTCTGTCCAAATGCCGGTTTGGGGATCATATACCTCCGCAGACCGGAGTGGGGTTAGCCCACCCCGATCCCGAGTAACGCCTCCGACCACATAAAGCTTCCCGTTTAGGACACCCGTCTTACAATAGGCTCTACCAATGGACATCGGGCTGATTTCGTCCCAAATGTTTGTTATTGGGTCGTAGCGCCAAACGCTCCTCATGGACGAATCTCTATGAAAGCCTCCCAATGTATAGAGACAGCCGTTGACCGCTCCAATAGCACAACCACAAAATGGGATTTGGCCAGGGGAACTTTTTTTCCGGAGCCAACGTCTTACAACATCTATGATTCTCATGGAGGGGCTCAACATACTGGATAGCCAAAGCCCGGATGAACCTGTTTTAGTCCCATCTTTAGGGGGGAAATCAGGGACAGGTGGCAACCTCTGCCATTTAAGGGAGACTGGGTCCAAGGCATACCATACAAGCATATCACCAGTGACCTTGGTCAATATGTAGAGCCACTCCTCGGTCATTCCGAGTTCTTTTCTTGTTTCATATAGTTCAGGGCTCATAATAGCAGATTTCCATCCCCGGGACACTAACTTTGCATTTATGTAAAAAATTCTAGGAAGTCGTGCAAGAATTTGAAAGGATATTTCATCAGGCAGGCTGGGAATCAACCGTGGGTTGTCTTCCCATAAACTAGATGAAATCCTTCGTCTCTTGCGCGCTTCACTTTGTGATGCCTCATTTGGCTCGGTGATGGGGGATTTCTGATTATTTGAGCTCAATATGCCACCCATCAATTATACCGCCACTTCAACCTTCAACCCAAACAGAATAATAATAGTCCTTTTATCCCACCAAGTGCAACACACTACCCTGCATAAAGGCCTGTGTATCCTATTTGGAAAAGCTCAAATTTGCAAGGCAATTATCGGCTGCATAAGCAAACAAAATCCAAAGAAATTGGGTAAAGGTAGAGATAAAACACAATTACACATTCTATAGCAACTGATGCAAACAGCTTTTTAATTTCAACCCATTTTTTCCTCGTTAGAAAGGCGCAACAAAAAGAACGTCTGGTTTAAAACCTGAACTCTAACTTTTGCATGAATTGGCAGTATTAATCTCATCATTCTCATGTCATTAGAACATGATCATTATGATGATGATTTTGAAGATGATGATGAATATGATGATGATGATGATGATGATGAATCAAGAAGATAAAAAATACCTGAATTTAAAACTCAACTTCCCAATTATTAAAACTACTACAGTTTTGGGGCAATTAAATTCTATAAAGAAAATTATAATAAAAAATAGTGATCTAATTGAGGGCTAGCAAAATGAAATGGCAATCAATTTCACCAAACACACACCCCTACAACTCCTACAAAAAAAATGATTAAGAGACAACTCTATAACACCCAATAAATCACAATAACACCAACCAAAACCTGCAAATTCCGCACAATTTTTCCAGGAACGAACAAAAAAAGCTAATCTGTTCCTAAAATTAGAACGGAATCCAAAATCACGTAAATATATGTTCCGTATCTAAAAGTCAAGCTAATCTGGAATATGCAGAAACAGAACTGGGGAATCAAAACAGAGATGGATGAGGAGAAAATCGGACGATGTTACCGGCATAGATGCGATGAGCTCAGGCCGGGATGGATTTCCGATGATCGATCATAGATTCTCCGTATCCATTAATGCGCTGAAGGTAAGAACTGAAGAAAATTTGGGAGATTATTCTTATGACGGCAGATATAGTGTTACTGTTGCCGGGAAGCTGTTTCGCTTTCATTCCACCAAAACCAAAATACACTTACAACTTTTGTTTAGTTGTATTTTTATTTGATCATTTTATAAAAATAAAATATTTTTATCACATTTTTAAAAAAAATTAAACGTAATTTTTATAAATCTAATTTATACTTTTATTTATATATCAATTTATATAAAATCATTTTTAAAAAAGAAGAAAATTTGCATATTATTTGAACAATGTGAATGAATTTGGGACATAGGAAGTACGGAGTATTAGAGTACAATACCATGACAATATATAGACTATAGTATCTAAACTATTAGGAAATATAAAGAAAGTATTCAAATACGAATTTCATTTTTTTAATCCCAAAATAAGAGTACAAATACTACGACAATATATAATATCAAAAATATAGTAAAATGTCATAATATAGTGTCATAATGTCACAAGACAAATTCTTACTTTAGAGATAAATGTCATACGAGTATTTAACTTCTAAATGAGTTGATTTCTGAAAAAATAAATTCAAATTAATTGTATTCAGTTATTAAAAAATCCAATAAAAAATAGAACAAAGTTGTTATTTGAGGTTGAAGAAATGGAAGTGGAAATGAAATTCAAGAGTGTACCAACCCAATTTTTGATGTTTTGAGAAAATATAAAACCTGACAACAATGTTTTTTAAAATAAAGGGAGTATAATTTTTTTACAAATGAGTATTATTTTTTAGCGTCATTGACCCGATTACAACATAATATATGTTCATACTTTTATCAATCAAATGACGTAAAAAGAGGCAATCTTTTTATCTTTGTTAGGGCTTGGTGCTCGAAGTTGAGTGAGTATAATTTATTTTTTAAAGGTTAAATATTCTGGACATTAAAAACGTGTTTGGTGAATAAAATAGATATAAGTTCCGATGACGCTTAAAGAAATATGAAATTTGAGATCTACTAATATCACAAACTTTTAAATGGAAGATTTTGATATCTTCTAAGTTTGGAAAATATGAATAAGTTTTATGCCTACTTCAGTCGTCGATCAATCTCTCTATTGTTTACCACTTTCACCGCCAATCACATCCATTCTCCTCGCCTATCATTAATGAAATCATGATTCAGATCTTTTCAAACAATTTTATTTAGAATTTTAGAACTCGCTTATTATTTATCCAAAAAAAATTGTTTATTTTTTTATTTTTTTAATTTCAAAGAGCCATGTACATTCTCAAGTAATAATACGAGTATCTTGACCAAGCTCAGTTGGTCAAGAACATGAAATCTTGGATCGAAAACTAGGGATCAATTCCACAAGCGGCAGTGAGAGCTATTCAAAAATTTCATAAAGAGTGAGAAGGCTCATTGTGCACGGTGGCACGAATCTAGCGTTCTTGATCGATTGAGTCATTATGATTTACCTTATCCACTATCCTTATCTGGCCCGGGGTGGGGCTTCTCCCAGCCGTCCCAGGGGCTACTGGGTGGGCTATTCGACCTTTTGGACAGACGAGTATACGACCAAGCTGGGCTCGATTGAGCGGCAAGTTTTCACTTAACAGTGAAGCTTCCCCCCCAAAGCTTCTCTTCCTGTCTATCGCTTCAACCGGCGATGGCGCCAAAACGCCGGCGCTCGAAGAACCGCAGAAAGCTTTTGAAACGAAGAGGTTTGCAGTTTCGGAAAAAAGTGTGAATTTAATTATAAAAATTTTTACTACATTTTTTCGATTAGATTTAAGTCTCTGAATTTTCAGTTTCATCTCCGTGTTGAAGGGCCATTGAAATCCGTGCAGGGAGGTGAAGAGCCTGGAGAGGACGAAGGAGTTAGTCCGATGGTAGAGAAGTACTGGTTTCAAAGGTTCGATCTATTCTCCAGGTATGACGAGGGGATAAAGATGGACGAAGAGGGGTGGTTTTCCGTCACGCCGGAGGAAATTGCCGCCAGGCAAGCCGACTGCTGCTGCGGCGGTGTTGTCATTGACGGTTTTGCAGGCGTTGGGGGTAATGCTATTCAATTTGCGGCGAAGTAAGGTTATGAATTTAGGGAAACATTAGGGCTTGCTTGTGAGCGAATTGGTAGAAGTTAAGAGCTGTTGATGTTTACTGTGAACTCTCTTTGGTAGGTATAATTATGTGATTGCAATTGACATTGATCCTAAGAAGATTGAAATGGCTCGACACAACGCGAATATATATGGAGTGGAAGAATATATCGATTTCCTCGTCGGGGACTTCTTCCAATTGGCTCCTTTTTTGAAGGTAATGTCCTTCTTCAGCTGATCATATCAATTGTTGAGGAGAAAAATTCATGTCAAGCCCGGACCTATTAATCAATGTTTAGACACTAGGTCCATAGTCATATCAAAATGGACATTCATTGGCGTATATGATGGATATATGGTGTTTTTGCATTGTCTTCTATCACAAAATGGACATCCTTGTTCACATGTGCTTTGGGTCTGATTGCTAGTGTGTCGTTATGTGTGTATAGTTTTTGTGCTCTTAGTTTGTTCATGCTAATATGTTTACTTTGTCTGCACTTCCGTGTTTGAGCTGGTAGTCTCTTGGAGACAACCTTTCTACTTCCAAGTAGGGTTAAGGTATGCGTACACACGTCTCCAGGCTATACTTTTTGTGGGATTTTACAGTGTTTGTTATTATTGTTGTTGCTGTATCTTTCACGATTGGATAGTGAAAAGTTGAGATCGAGAGTGATGATTGTGATCATCACATCTTAATAGTGTCTATTGCTCTATCCATCTCATTTGGTGGCGATCACACTTTTGAATTGGTTGATTTATGTCCGGGAAAACAGATTGTCTGCATTTAAAGACTAAGGCTTTGTTTGGTGGCCATTTCAGCTAATGAGTCCTTACCGAATGGTTCCTAAATGCAAAGGGAGTATAAAGTTTGAGCATTGCAACCTTGGTGCCTAGACACTTGTGATCTTTGACCTTAAAATCAGTAGTTTTGATGTCTGAGTTTCATTCACGCGTAATCATAATTCATAGGGTGAAAGAGGTCATTGCCAAATTCCAATGGAGCAAAAAATGTTATTATTGACAATGTTTTGGTTTTGGGCACACACTGGTTTAAATCAAGATGGAACATTAAACTTCACTTGTTTCTAACATTCTATAAAGTTTTGGAGAGTAAATGCAGCAATGCATCGTCTAACAGAAACAGTCTCTCTGTTTTTACAGGGGTAAGATTTTTTTCCTTAATTTGTTTTTTCCTCTCATTCAATTTTTTTCTTCTTTTTCTCTCTAACCAAACAAGAAAAATTATTTTTCATGTCATTTCTTTTCATTTCCATTCCAAATTCCTTGAACCAAACGTGATGTTAAACTTTGTTTTGATCATCTTGATCAGGGAGACGTTGTGTTTCTTTCTCCCCCATGGGGTGGTCCAACCTACAAATTGAGAGACACTTATGGTCTAGAGCTTCTGAAACCAAAAGACGGGTACGTACGTATGCCCTACTGCCTCCACCAACTTATGGTTTGAAGTGTGAAGTTAGGAAATGCGAGAAAATATTTAATTGTTGGGGGAAGGTTCCCAAACACACCCCCCCACCCCTCCACCAACTTATGGTTTGAAGTGTGAAGTTAGGAAATGCGAGAAAATATTTAATTGTTGGGGAAGGTTCCCAATGTCATGGGAACCAAGGTGTTAATTGTTTGGACTTTTTTCTTTCAATGTCAATTCGACACATGAGGTCAAGTAACTAGTGTTTGGTGAAAAGGGTGGCCGATAAGCCGAACAAAAAGTTACTACCAACAGAGAGTGATACTAATTCTACCATGGTTGCAGCTATGCATTGTTTCAGGCTGCACAAAACATTACACCAAACATCGTCATGTACTTGCCTCGTAATGTGGCCTTGCTTCAAGTGGAACATCTTGCTTGGTTATCTTCTCCCCCTCTTCCATTTCAGGTATAGCTATAGTATGTTGTATTTTAGTTTATTTGGAGTATTTTTTGATTGATAATGATGGACTTTAATCCATCGGAATATATGAATTATACAATAAGCAACGGAGAGACATTGATAGAAGTTATGTGAACCCTTTGTGCATTAAGAATTAAACTCGTCTCTAGGGTGGGAGTAAGTACGAGGATTAGATAGTTACGATCCATAATTAGTGGAAATAATCATAGAGCGTGATAAAATCATGATCAGTCACGCATGGAGCGTCCCCGAGCCCCACCCACAATTCCGTCCACGTCTAAGATTGAACCACGGTTCCAGGTCGGTTAGCCCACGGCCCATATCATTGTTAAATACTCATCCATTTTCTCCTCTACAAAAAATAAGTAAATGTAAATCCTCTCATGGTATGTTTGGTAACATGGATTTGGATTTCAAATCCGGATTTGGCTCAAATTTGATGTTTGGGAAACTTAAAAATTTTGAATTTGGATTTGAGTCAAATTCTTCTCATTCATAACAAAACTTATTTTGAAATCCATGCACCTCCCCTTGTCATTTGAAATTCAAGATTTCAAATTTTGGAATTGAAATGCATGAATTGAAATGAAATGCTAGTTGCCAAACACTACCTTAGAGAGATTACACACAACTTTTTGCTTGTTGCAGATTGAAGAAAGCAAGCTTCACGGCCATGTGAAAGGCATAACAGTTTATTTTGGTGGCATTGCATCCTCATGAGCCATAGCTCAAGTTCAATTTATCAAAGTAATCAAACAAGAGGGTTAAGCCAAAGTTCAGTACTTTTGAATTTGAAACCTTTATTTTTGTACGAATATTTTGAATGTATATTAGCTTCTTTATTTTGCATAACATTTGTAACTTGTTAAATTTTCTCTCCCAAGTTTTTTTAAAAAGAAAAAACTACCTAGTTTAAATACTCTGTATCAAAGTTCAGAATGTCACAAAGAAATGTTGGAGGGACAAAGACGCACTCCAACATTAAATAGTACTACCTTTGTTTTAAAGTATTTGTCTAGTTTTGATTTTTTTCAGTCAATTATTTTCAACTTTTGACCTATAGTTAAATAAAATATATATTCTATACTCTGTATTAATTAAATGAAATAATATTTTGAAAGTATTATATATAGTGAATCTAATAAAACTATTTTTGTATCAATATCTATTATCATTTTTATTTAATTTTGGTCAAAATTTACCAATTTTAACCAAGAAAAAGTCAAAAGTAGACAAATATTATGGAGCGGAGGAAGTACATAATAATGTATAACTCATGTATACGGAGTAATAACTTTAAAAGACTAAAATAGAGCAGCATTTTGTGTCACTCTCAAGTATCTCTCCATTGGGAAATTATTAAGTGGTTTGCATTGTGTCTCCTCTATATAAAATATAATTTTCATTTTCTTAATCTCCATGTCAGGAACAAAGTAAACTTTAATAAATTGCAATAACACAGTTTTTTTAATTAAAAAAAAACTCTGTATCCACCAAATTATACTTTTGTTTAAGGGCATATGGAGTATTGTTTACTCAATTCCCACATAACATTCACTAGAACTCTCAAGTAAAACCAACTATAGTGAACTTACAATTTCAGTACTACCTCATTACATGATCCCTCTAAACAATGAGCCATTATTATCTTAACACATTATTTATAAGCACATTGGGAGAGAAAACTGTTCACCTCAGCTGCAACTTCATAAGCTCCTTCTACGCATCGCCCCAAAGCCACGCCGGATACATAGTTACCCCCGAGAAACAGCCCTTCCAAGCCATCGTCTCGGATACCATTTCTTGCAGTTTCTAGGATATCCAAATGGCCCACCAAGAACTGCGGAATGGCTTGAGGCCACACTCTCACGCCAAGAACAAGTGGGTCCTTGGCGCTTGGTTTTATGAGCATCTTCCTCAAATCGCGGTCAACTGCTTCCACAAGTTCACCCTCCATCTGTATGGGAAAAAAACAAGTTTGCGTTTAGAGCTTGAAAAATGGCGGTGGTGGGGGAATTTTTTTTGGGGAGGGGGGGATTTAAAAATGCTCAACGATTTTGTTGGTTTGGTATTCATTGGAAAATACAAAGAGATGTTTTCTTTTTTTTCAAATTGGCATAGCTTAATCTTGCCTATGGCCTGAGTCCTGACCCCACCTAGAAGCTAGGGCTCAAAGTTAGGAACATTGATACATACTCCCTCTGTCCAAAAAAATAAACTTTTACACTTTCCTTTTTTAGACATTCCAAAAAAACATTTTACACTTTATTTCCTTTTTTAGTAATGAACATGTGGCTCACAATATTTCTCTCATCTACACAAATTCAAACCATACATTTTTTACTTTTCAACAATTTTCTTAAGCTCCGTGAAAGCCAAGGAGTAAAATATTTTTTTTTTGGTGACGGAGGAAATAATATCTTACTTTGGACAAAATCCCAGTGTTGGTAGCACCTCCAATGTAGTTCAGAAGCAAAACCCTTCCTTCTGGTGCTCGGTTAGGAAAAAGCGATGAGCTGTATATAGTTCCTGAGGAATCAACAAATTCAACAAGATCTTTGCATTATTTCACATTTGGAAACAAACCAATGAGGAATAACCAATTCCCAATATCATGCTTAACTATATTATTTTAATTGCACAATTATACTCCGTATTGATGATTGATGAATACAATTGTAAATACGAATCTATAGAGAACACTTACCTAAGGTTTCCACCCCTTGGCTGCGTGGATGCAACTGGCCAAACCCATTAAGCTCACCATCTATTAAGCATTCTATCTGTATTGCTTCTTTTGGGTAGGAAATGGACACGGCTGCAACTGGTGGGTAATAGAATTCCGATAAGGAATCAGCAGCTACTGCCTGCAGACGATTGCACACTTCCAAAAATTTAGGCCCCACTGGGTATCATTAATCTGATTGTTTATGAATAATCATAATACGCATATTAAGTAACCTTTGACTTATTTGGCTGAAACCAAATTCACCGAATATTTGATTCAACCAAATCAGCCATACCAAACGGGCTCTTATGGTGCAGGGTTGATAGTTGGAAGAAGAGTTTTCAAAAAGTGAAATTAGTGTGACAGAAATACATACAGATAGAGGTTGTAAGAAATTGCTCGCAACGTGAGAGGGAACTGTCAATACAACACTCTTGGTCTGCAGAAAAACAGACCCTTCAGGTGTTTCATATGTTAGAGTATACCCTCCACCATCACGTTTAGTAATACTTGAGAGCTTCCAAGACAATTTAACATTTTGGCCCAACCTGCAACACAGCAATGGCTATTCAACTATTCAAGGCTTGATAATCCCCAAATTATATCATACCCCCTCTGTTATTATGTATCTGTCTACATTGACAAATCACACAGTTTTTGTAAATGCATTGTTGTGATTTGTACCAAAAAATCCCTTTTGTAATACAAATAAATTATCTACTAATTTCATTTAATAAATCTCTCGGTTAGTATAAGAGTAAATGTTGAGAAAAAACATTTAATTAATGTGCATAGATTCATAAGTGATAAAAGGATAGATAACAAGAACAAGCAAATTTGGTTAATGAAGACATACAAGATAAATAGGAAGAGCTGGAGTATAACATAAGGGCTGTGGATAGATTTCTGTCACAGCAAAGGACGGCTTTTAACAAACGGGATCAAAACTTCTTGTGAAATGGCATTGCTAGGAGACACATTACCTTTGGGCAATCGCAACAGGCAACATAGTAAGTCCTTTTCGAAAGGACCCAACTGTTTGGCCCTTTGGTGTTGGTAAACGCCTGAAAGATACAAAGTTAAGAATTTGTAAACATGAGTAAAAAGAAAAGCAACGAAAGGTCTCAATGCGTGTAGAATATATATTTACGGGTCCCGGGGAGGTTTTGGACTTTTCTTCTTTTCTTGGATTGTTTTTAAGGTGCCACCAATGATGCTGCCACCAATTTGCTCTAGGTTCCATACTTTTCCAAATGCTGCTTTCATACCTAATTTTGAAGGGTCACCTGCATAAACACCTGGACATAACAACAGTAGCCTTGAGCATTCTATAATGTATCATGTTGGGCTGCAATCATCCTCTGAGTTTAGACCGTTGAAAGAACTTTGGTTGCTAAGAGATATGTTTAAAAGCTAGCTCATCAAAAGGAATGGACTAATTGGGTCAAACCTAGTTTGTTTAATTTGCATGGTGCCATGGAATTTCACTCAGCTTTAATGTTTAAGAACTTTAAGGAACATATTTCTTATTTTATCCTCCATTAGTTCCTCTTTATCTACATACATTGACCTAATCACACAGTAAAGAAAAATGCATTGGAGTAACACATGAATAAATTGATCAAAACTTCTTATATTGTTTCATAAACGCCTTTATTTGTGGATTAATTACTTACTACTATTTTAATCACCCTCTTACATATAAGGATAAGACAAACAACAATAACCTACCCAATAAAATACCACAAGGGTAAATTTTGAAGAAGAAAAATAAATTATGCATAGAATTCATATAAAAGTACAGATAAAAAGGAATGTGCAAATTTGGTCAATAGAGACAAATGAATAGAAATGAAGGGAGCAGGAGTCATGAATGGGCAGCCCGGTGCCTAAAATGTCCCCACGACAAAAGGGTATAATATAGTCAAATCTTATGCTCCAATTTTGTAAGAGACTGCGTAAGATCTCGGACCTGTGACCAAATAGTTACACACAACATCTCAATCATTGTGGCAAGGAGCCTTTCACTAATCGACAATGAAATAAGATCATAATCAGGAAGGAACAATATATACCCTGGAAATAAATCCAACTCAAGAACCAAAAAATTAGTGTAAGCACCCAAGTCTAACTTCAAAATATTTATATCAATTCCTTCCCAACATCATGGATAGCAGTTTTGAAATGATACTATAATAGCATACCTGAACAAAAAGGCTCGATCAGACGCTCAAAAACTTCGTCACCGAGGTTACGGCGGACAAATTCTTCAACTGACTCCTCATGTCCCTGTCACCTTAATCAAAATTTTATGGTAGTGAGAATGATACAGTTTCTAAAGAGAACCAAAAGAAATGTGCAAATAAGTGTCTTAATAAAGAGAGGAAGCAAAAGAGAACTCACTGGTGATGGAGGTCTAAAACCAAGAGCACCAAATCCAGCTCTAAGTTTCCCACCAAAGCTCATCAAATCAAAAAATGGCAAGTCAGTGAGCTTTGATGGAACTGGCCTCAATTTCCCATCCCAAAGCACAAAGCGCGGCGAATTAGGGTCCCCAAATACTAAATCTTCCTTTAACCCACTATCCACCTAACACAGCAATTAAAGAAAATCAAATTCTATTCAATTGTTTGAATCTATGAATACAAGGACAATGATCACGCACCACCATGGATAACATAGAATCGGATGGCTGGAAGCTATTGGGACCCTCTTCCCAAAGATACCCGTCTCTTTCCACGGTTGTGATGTTCCCGCCGACACGATCTCTGGCCTCGGTGACAATCACATTTGGGGCTACATCGCGATGCTTGGTGGCCAGAGCTTGAGCGATGCATAGGCCGCTAATTCCGCCGCCCACGATCACGCAATCGGCTGGCGGTTGTGAGTCTCCGGCGGGGGAAATAGTGCCTGTCGATTGCACCGTGATTGAGCACCGGAGCCGAACTGTCGACGGTTTGTTAGGCGTGCTTTTGGGACTGGAAGGGACGAGTGAGAGTTTTGGCCGGAGAAACAACGGCAAGTCTGCAAGAGCGGCCATCGCAGGCTTCGAGAGGCAAACCAGACGGCGGCCACGGCGTGCTTATCTAGGCTCCGATTCTTAAGAAGAAGTCAAGAAGATATGCTAAAAATGGGCAACGATGCTCACTCGGGCAAGTAAGCGAGCCAAGGTTTAAGAAAGTTCGGGAGTCAATACAGTAAAGTCAGGGAGGAAAAGTTGCGGTTATGAAAGAACTCTTTAAGATGTGTATCCAAATATTTAAACTTCTATAAATACTTAGATTAACACAAAATATAAATACTTAGTACAAAGTTTTGCACTGACATCTTATATTAATTTAAATTATGAATTTATATTTACATTAAAAAAACGTAAGTATAAATCTTTTAAATATAAATATATATTTTTAAAGAATGGGCAAAAATTAGATATGTTAAAAAAATTCCTTTAAATAAGATGTAAATCATGTAAGAAGTATAATAATATAAAAATAGGAGTCATAACTATTTTAAGGTCAAAATATTAGTACAATTACAGTGTGATGTAAGCGTACATGTCGGTTGTGTGGTTGAAAGATCATTAATATGATAGTATGATCAGTCAGCCATCGTTGATCGGTGACGACACTCTAGTAACTGACGGCGACGGATGACAGTGTGGTTGGGTAAATTTCACCTATGGTACCTGAACTTTAGTTGTAATTTCAAAGTGGTACCTAAACTTCAAATTCTTTCAAAAAATCTCTCAACTTACACAATCCTTTCACTAATAGTCCATTAGCCCGTTTCTAGGTCAACTTCCGGTCATTTGGGCCAAATTAGAATTTTATATATTTTAAAATATATAAAATATCCAAACCACCTCAATTTGACCCCATTTCTTTTATTCTTTTCTTCCGCTCCCCGCCGCCGTCACACCACCTCAAACTCGACGGAAAATCAACCTGGTCCGATTCCGGCGGGACCAACGCCATTCTCTTCGTCTTGAGATGAGGATCAAGAATATCCAAACCATTTTTTCCAATTTGGCCTGCAACTCCTCGAATTTGAATTTTTCCACTCGAAAAAACCCTAAAATCCGAAATTGGGGTTTTTCCAAATCGCCATCAAATCTTGCAATTGAGGGGTCCTAGGAGGTCGCCGAGATGCCACGAACACATTGGAAGGGATGAGCGGCGTCAATTTTTCCGGAGGTGGCCGGAAAATGCTCCGACCCGCCGGAAAACGCCGCATCCTTCCGGCAAGTCGGGGCGTTTTCCGGCCACCTCCGGAAAAATTGACGCTGCTCATCCCCTCCAATGTGTTCGTGGCATCTCGGCGATCTCCAAGGACCCCTCAATTGCAAGATTTGATGGCGATTTGGAAAAACCCTCAATTTCGGATCTTAGGGTTTTTTCAAGTGGAAAAATTCAAATTCAAGGAGTTATAGGCCAAATTGGAAAAAATGATTTGGATATTCTTGATCTTCATCTCAAGACGAAGAGAATGGCGTTGGTCCCGTCGAAATCGGACTAGGTTGATTTTACGGCGAGTTTGAGGTGGTGTGACGGCGGCGGGGAGCGGAAGAAAAGAATAAAAGAAATGAGGTCAAATTGAAAATTTTAAAATATATAAAATTCTAATTTGGTCCAAATGACCGGAAGTTGAACTGGAAACGGCCTAATGGACTATCAGTGAAAGGATTGTGAAAGTTGAGGGATTTTTTTGAAGGATTTAAAATTTAGGTACCACTCAGAAATTACAGCTAAAGTTCATGTACAATTCATAAAATTTATAGCTGTGTGGTACGTATGAAAGTGTAAATAGTAATAATGGGTTTACCCGCCTTCCCTACCTACGCGGTCGGGCTAGATCCAGACGCCTTAAATCTCCACAGTAGCCAACAAAAGCGCCGAACACCGTCATATTCCAGAATCCAGTTACCCGCCCTAGAGAACTCGAGTAAACCGCCAATCTACGAATCTATCTTGTTTTTTATTTATTAAATTTCTCCCATGAATCCATGACGGGTGGTAAAGAAATTCAGAAGAAAGCATCAATTGGAAACGGATCCGGGAAGGGCAAGAATAAGAAGAACAAGACGAAGAACAAGAGAGGGGGCAATAAGAGGAAGACGGCCCCCGAGCAGTCCTCCGCTCACACTTCTGTCTGCGAATGGGTTTTCCTGGACCAGAAGAGCTCCAGTAAGAATCTCGATGGCGATTTTCTGGTGCACAGAAATCAGCGCAGGGAGAATCTGGTGTTTGAAATGCACTGCCATTCGACTCACAGTGATGGGTTCTTGCCCCCTTCCAAGGTTGTAGAAAGAGCACATCAGAATGGGGTCAGTTTCTTTTTTATTTAGCTTGTCAATTAGTTCTACTATGGGAGGTTTTAGTTTGGAGTGGGTTTATGCCCGTTATGTGTTTGATCATTTTACCCAAAGAAGAAAGAATCAAGTTTCACCAATTGAAGCATAACCAGTTTTTCATGCATGAAATCTTCCAGCTATACTACCATCACTGACTTTGCAATGTATTAGCTTCAAGTAAACAATTGACTAAATCAAATGGCACATTAAACTTTCAATTTTTTTACTATCTATGAAAGTCTGGTAGTAAATGCTGCAATGCATCAAGGGCTTTACTGAAACCACCATGAGCCTAACGAATTTGGGATTATAATGGGTTTTATGTTGTTGCTGTTGTTGTTGGTAGGTTAATATTCTGTGATATCTACATTGGCCCATCTTGCAATATTTTTATTACATATGCTGCAGTTAATTAGTTCTAATATGTTCAGAACAGGTGAAAGTTCTATCCTTGACTGATCATGATACCTTATCTGGAATACCTGAAGCCCTGGAAGCTGCTAGCAGATTCGGCATTAAAATTATTCCAGGCGTTGAAGTCAGCACAATATTCTTCCCAAGGTTAGCTAACCGCAGGAGTGATTACTTGTTTCTTGTATTATTCTCTCCTAGAGTTAGTATTGGATGTCTGGTTTAGTTCCTAGACTATGCATTACTGCTCAATTTTGTCATGGACTCAACTTGATCATCTACCATGCAATTTGGACTTGATTTAATATTCTCACGAATTTGGTTATAAACAAAAAGGTATTTTGTCGGAGTCGTTAAATTTTGACCCAATTTAATACTCAATTTGATCATTCCTTATGTAACTTGAACCCATTTTAGTCCTTGGTGGATGAATTTACCCCTCCATTATTATAAGTAAAATGTAAGTTTAAGAACTAAATTTAGTTTAAGTTTCTTAGTAAGAGATCAAATCTGAGCCCACAAGAAAGTAAATGAATTAACGGAGTGCTACCTCACAGTATTCTGTCCAGGGAATAAATCAAGTATTAACCCCAGCCCTAATATTTCATACTAAAAATTTGCAGCAAATGCTTTTCTCCTGCGATTTCAGCTTAAAGGGGGTTAGATGGGACTCTTTAGGAGAATCGGGCTTTGAATGATTTACTTTCTTGCTTCTATTTCTCTAATTTTTTTTGTACAAGGTTTTAATGTGGATGTCTTTTGTGAATGGAACATAAGCTGTGTTGAGAGTTTAATATATTTTGGGTTTACGTTTTTGATAATTTACAGAGGGGAGCCTGGATCAGAAGAACATGTTCACATCCTTGCATATTACAGCAGTTGTGGGCCAACAAAGGCTGACAAAGTGGAAAAGATGTTGCATGATATAAAGGAAGGCCGCTTTGTACGTGCAAAAAACATGGTTTCAAAACTCAATCAACTCAAATTTCCCCTTAAATGGGAAGCGGTATTGAGAATTGCAGGCAAAGATGCAGCTCCTGGGAGGGTGCATGTTGCTCGTGCCATGGTTGAAGCTGGATATGTCGAGAATTTAAAACAAGCTTTTGCTTGGTACCTTTATGATGGAGGGCCCGCATATGCTACGTAATGTTTGCAACTCACGTAGTCCTTTTATTGTGCCTTATTCATGTATAATCTCATCATTGTTGCACGATTAAGACCGTTTTAAGAGCCTGTTTCTTGAAAACCACTATGATTGCAGTTATGTTGAAGTTGTGGCTGGGATGGCTGAATATGCTGATAAGCCAAAACATAAATTAAAATATAATAAAATAAATTCAAGAAAAGAATTTCCAAAAATAAAGGTAGAAACCTCACAATCATCCATTTCTGTCACAAAAGTAACTACTGCTACTTTTGTTTCATTAGTATTTGGTGAAAACTGGCCACTACTGCTTTGAACTTATTTTTGGTGAATAAGCATGGTGCGCCGTTGGATCATTTCCTCAATGATCCAAAAATTCATTGAGTAGTATGGTGGTTATGTTTTTCAGGGGAAGTGAGCCGGTTGCAGAGGAAGCTGTGAAATTAATATGTGAAACAGGTGGCATTGCGGTATTGGCGCATCCATGGACTTTAAAAAATCCAGTGGCTATAACAAGAAGATTGAAAGAAGCTGGCCTTCAAGGGATAGAGGCTTACAGAAGTGATGGAAAAGTGGAACGTAAGGCCTTGTGACCTTGCTATCTCATCCTTACACATTTGATATTTTTGCTTCATTGTTCATCCAAGTCTTGTTTCTGAATTCTAATGCAGTTATGCTAAAAGCAGCAGCATAAGTGTGTATTTTGTTGGGGAAAAAATATTTTTCTCGAAAATTTTGATTCTATTTTTTTGCATTTGGTAATGGAAAGAAAATATTTTTAAAAAGAAAAAAAATTCTCCCAATTGGGGGAAAATAAATTTCATTTGCTTTTGAAA